AAATATCTCCTTCCAGCCTCACAGGCCCATTCTATTCTGTCGTCATTTCATAACCTCTTGCATCTAAGTTACAAGCCACTAGCCCGTCTCTTAGAACCTCTCATTTCTTTTCCATCCTATAAATCTATCCTCAAGGAGATCACTTCTCAGTGTTCCATCTGCTATTCTGCTACCCCTCAGGGATTGTTTAGGCCCCCTCCCTTTCCTACACATCAAGCTCGAGGATTTGCCCCTGCCCAGGACTGGCAAATTGACTTTACTCACATGCCCCGAGTCAGAAAACTAAAATATCTCTTAGTCTGTGTAGACACTTTCACTGAATGGGTAGAGGCCTTTCCCATGGGGTCTGAGAAAGCCACCGCGGTCATTTCAGACATAATTCCTCGTTTGGCCTTCCTACCTCTATACAGTCTGATAACAGACCAGCCTTTAATAGTCAAATGACCCAAGCAGTTTCTCAGGCTCTTGGTATTCAGTGAAACCTTTATATCCTTTACCGTCCTTAATCTTCAGGAAAGGTAGAACAGACTAATAGTCTTTTAAAAACACACCTCACCAAGCTCAGTCACCGACTTAAGAAGGACTAGACACTACTTTTACCACTCTCCTTTCTCAGAATTCAGGCCTGTCCTTGGAATGCTACAGGTTCCAGCCCATTTGAACTCCTGTGTGGACACTCACTTAGGTCCCAGTCTCATTCCAGACACCAGACCAACTTAGACTGCACCCCAAAAACTTTCATCCCTACTGTCTTCTGTCTAGTCATACTCCTATTCACCTATTCTCAACTACTCATAAATGCCCTGCTCATGTTTACACTGCCGGTTTACACTTTCTCCAAGCCATCACAGCTGATATCTCCTAGTGCTATCCCAAACCGCCACTCTAAATTCCCTCTTAAAGTAAATAAATAATCTTTGCTGGCAAGGCTATGCTGAACCTCCTTGGGCACTCTCTAATTAGATGTCCTAGAGTCCTCCCAATTCTTAGTCCTTCAATACCTGTTTTTTCTCCTTCTCTTACCTTGTGTCTTCCGTTTAGTTTTTCAATTCATACAAAACCGCATCCAGGCCGTTTTGTATGTCATTCAATATGACAAATGTTTCTTCTAACGACCCCACAATATCATCCCTTACCACAAAATCTTCCTTCAGCTTAATCTCTCCCACTCTAGGTTCCCACGTCGCCCCTAATCCCGCTTGAAGCAGCCCTGAGAAACATCGCCCATTCTCTCTCCATACCACCAAAAAATTTTCGCCACCCCAACAGTTCAACACTATTTTGTTTTATTTTTCTTATTAATATAAGAAGACAGGAATGTCAGGCCTCTGAGCCCAAGCCAAGCCATCGCATCCCCTGTGACTTGCACATATAGGCCCATCTGGCCTGAAGTAACTGAAGAATCACAAAAGAAGTGCAAATGCCCTGCCTGGCCTTAACCGATGACATTCCACCACAAAAAAAGTGAAAATGGCCGGTCCTTGCCTTAACCGATGATATCTTGTGAAATTCCTTTTCCTGGCTCATCCTGGCTCAAAAAGCTCCCCCACTGAGCACCTTGTGACTCCCACTCCTGCCCACCAGAGAACAACCCCCCTTTGACTGTAATTTTCCTTTACCTACCCAAATCCTATAAAACGGCCCCACACTTATCTCCCTTTGCTGAATCTCTTTTCGGACTCAGCCTGCTTGCACCCAGGTGATTAAAAAGCTTTATTGCTCACACAAAGCCTGTTTGGTGGTCTCTTCACACGGACGTGCGTGACAGCCTCTAGTAAAGAGAGACAGACAACAAAGAAACTGTAAAGGTAAACTGAGGCTGGAGCCGAAACGGGAACGAAGACACAAGGCAAATGGCAGTAAGAATAGCCTTTTATTAGGGCTTGCGGGCGAGGTTCCTGGGTCCAAAAGCGTTGGCCAAGGAAGTCACGCTGAGGGAGGAGGGTAGGGGCTTCTTATAGCCTGAGAGGTAGGGAAGCTGGTTGTGCAAACAGGGCCTGGGGGGTCTTGAAACTACTAGGGCAGGAGTTGAGTAAGGGTCATGAGGAAGGGGTCTTTGGAAACTGTCAACCGAAACTGCTGTTTACGAACTTGTGGAATGCAGGTGAGCTGCAGGTCATGGGGGAGTGTGACTGCCCAGCTGGAACTCTGACACATGTAAGTCTGTGGGTGTGTACAATTGTGAAGGGAGTCTTTAACAAAAGGCCTGCTACTCCGGGTAACGCCGCCATGTTGGGTCTAGATTCCTGCCTAACAGAAACTAGAAAGTTATAATTCAGATGGTGATAAATACTAAGGAAAAAAATGAAACAGGGTAAAGGATTAAGGAGGGCCAGGAGACAAGAAAGGAGGGAAGTTGCTTATATAGGAGGGTCAGGTGACATTTTAGCAGAGACTTGAAGGAAGTGAGGGAGCTGACCAGGTGGATATCTAGGAGAAGAGCATTCTAGGTAGAAGGAACGGCAAGTGTAAGGGCCCTAAGGCAGGAGGCCCTAAGGCTGGAGCACAGGGAGTGAGGAGGACAGAGCAGGGAAGAGGGACAGAGAAGAGGTAGTTGGCCTTAGGGCCCTCAAAAGGACTTGGCTGTCACTGAGTGAAATGGAAAGCACAGGATGGTTTTGAGCAGGCCAGTGACCTGATTGCAGTTGTTTTCAAGGAGTTAGAAAAGACCTCTACCCTAGTGGGTACTGCAGGCTCTGGCTCTGGGTGAGCCACACCCTGTCCCATTCCCTGATGAGGGACCTTGGCCTCTCCTAGTCTTAGTTGTTTTTTTTTTTTTTTTTTTTTTTTTTTTTTTTTTTTTTTTTGAGACGGAGTCTCGCTCTGTCGCCCAGGCTGGAGTGCAGTGGCCGGATCTCAGCTCACTGCAAGCTCCGCCTCCCGGGTTCACGCCATTCTCCTGCCTCAGCCTCCCGAGTAGCTGGGACTACAGGCGCCCGCCACCTCGCCTGGCTAGTTTTTTGTATTTTTTTAGTAGAGACGGGGTTTCACCGTGTTAGCCAGGATGGTCTCGATCTCCCGACCTCGTGATCCGCCCGTCTCGGCCTCCCAAAGTGCTGGGATTACAGGCTTGAGCCACCGCGCCCGGCCGTCTTAGTTCTTTATCTAAGAAATGATTCCAAGGATTTAGCCAAGTACCCCTCCCTCACTGCAGCTGACCTAACTGGGCCAAGCTTTTGTGTAAGTGGTAGGGAGGAGTTGGAAGCAGTGGGAGTAGAGGGGAGCCAATCTAGAGGCTTGAATGTTTAATGTGGAATTTCCTCTCTCTAGGGGACCACAGGTGGGGGGGGCAGCTTGCAGGGGGAGGTTATTCAGTTGGCTAGTATCTAGCCAGCACCTACTTATCCTGAGTCTCAGACTCCTGGCTCACGGGAGGTGGGGTAGCTAACAAGCTCCAACAAGCCCAGGCACAGTTACAGTGGCCAGAAATGGAGCCATCCGTCCTCCAAAGAATCAGGCCTGTCAGGACCTGCCTCCAGAAAACCACTCAGCTGCTCTGTTCTCAGGGAAGGTGGCCTTTCGTGATTCTGCTCCTCCCACCCCCAGCCCCTGAATTAGCACCCTTGGAGTTCGAAACTATTTTCCACGGTTGGAATTTTATATCAATTAGTAGGATTCTTTGATTATTTTCCTTCTCCCACCATTCTAGAAACTAATGGGCCTGGTGAGGGCTTTGTCTATTTCCTTTACTGTTGTGGTCCTGGAGTCCCCCAGCACAGTGCCTGGCACGTAAGGGGCACTCAGTAAATGAGGTGAATGAATGAAAGATAGGGGAGTAAGGCAAGTAATGCTGTTCCTTTTTACAGGCAATAAAACAGAGGCCCAGACAGGGTCTGACCTCAGCAGCAGAGCAGGTGACTGCCTTCTGGCCTAATTCCTATAATGGGAGCCACCCAGGAGCATACGTTCACACCCAAGGGCCTCCCAGGCCCTCCCCCATCTTCTCCTCTAAGGGAACTGCAGAGCTAGGCCCTGCCTTACCCCAGAAACAAGACTAGTTTCTCAGGAAAAGATCCTAGGGCAGGAATGGAGCAAGTGACAGTTTGGTTTTTATTTTATTTTATTTTTATTTTTATATTTTTTGAGACAGGGTCTTCCTCTGTCACCCAGGCTGGAGTGCAGTGGCGAGATCTCAGCTCACTGCAACCTCTGCCTCCTGGGCTCAATCGATCCTCCCACCTCAGCCTCCCGAGTAGCTGGGACTACAGGCATCCGCTACTACTCCCGGCTAATTTTTGTGTATTTTTTGTAGAGACAGGGTTTTACCATGTTGCCCAGGTTGGTCTCGAACTCCTGAGCCCAAGTGATCCATGAGCTTCAGCCTCCCAAAGTGCTGGGATTACAGCTGTGAGTCACCACTCCCAGACGTGACAGTCTGTTAATACCAGTAAGAGCACTTTGAATATACCAGACACTGTTTTTCCACAACTTTTCGAGACAAGTTTTGTTAGCAACTTTATTTTACAGATGAAAAAACAGGCTCGGGTGGTAAGTGGCATGCCCAAGGTAGTGGCAGAGCCTAGGTGTTCCAATCCAGGCAGCTGGGTTCAGCCGCACTCCGATCCTCTCCAGATGCCTCTCTGTTACAGCGCAGAACATCAGCAGCATCAGGAGTCATGTGCACTTCCAGCTCTGCCTTGAGTACCCGATGACCTGGTTTCCTCATCGGTAGATAGCGAAGGTTAATATTGGCTAGCCTGTAGAGTTATCGGGAGACCAACGCACAAAAAGGGTTTAATACCGTGCTCAGCACATAGTAAGTGGTCAATACATGTTAATTATTGATATTCTTGTTATTTGTGGTGTGTCTGGGCCGGGAGGGAGGGCTGCAGGGCGCTGTCTATGCACACTTCACAGGTGAGGTCATCCCGCGGGCTGGGGGTGCCGGGCCCCTCGCCGGCCCACGCCCAGCCAGGTGCACCCCCGCGAGAGTCCGGTGGCCTCAGGTCCCAGGCCCCTCCCCGCCGGACATTTAAGGAGGGACGCCGGGCGCAGGCGCAGAGAGGGCAAGCCCCGCGCCGCACGTCGCCAGTCCCAGGCAGCCAGTCGCGCGCGCTCCCCGCCGGCCGGCTGGCGACAGCCCCGCTGCGCACACACATGGAGGGGAGCGCGAGTCCCCCGGACAAGCCCCGCGCCCGTCCCTCGGCTGCTGTGCTGTGCCGGGGCCCGGTAGAGCCGCTGGTCTTCCTCGCCAACTTTGCCTTGGTCCTGCAGGGCCCGCTCACCACGCAGTATCTGTGGCACCGCTTCAGTGCCGACCTCGGCTACAATGGCACCCGCCAAAGGGGGGGCTGCAGCAACCGCAGCGCGGACCCTACCATGCAGGTAGCGGGGCGGCAAGGAGCCTGGCAGGGAGAAGGCCCTGGGCTGGAGCGTGGCGGCAGCGGAGGGGTGGGGCCTGCATAATGGTAGTAGGGGGTAACTGGAGGGAGGGTGCATTTTGGATGGTGGGCGGGATCAGAGCAAAGCGGCCTGACCCAGAACCTCAGCGTGGGGAATGTGAAAAGTTGAGCTAAAGCCTGGCCTTGCAGGTTAACAAAAGCGGGGGAAAGGAAAGGGAATGGGGCCTTGGTCCATGTCCTTCCCCCTCTTCACTGGCAGATTCTGAAAGTTGTGCTAAGATTCTCTGAGGTTTAGGGCTCCAAAGAAAGTCCTCGTCCCTGTAGCTCCCGGGATGGCGAGGATTCGGGGATTGGGCAACCCAGAGTGAGGAACCGCACCCTGGTCATTGTGCCCCTACAGGAAGTGGAGACCCTTACTTCCCACTGGACCCTCTACATGAACGTGGGCGGCTTCCTGGTGGGGCTCTTCTCGTCCACCCTGCTGGGAGCTTGGAGCGACGGTGTGGGCCGCCGCCCGCTGCTAGTGCTGGCCTCGCTGGGCCTGCTGCTCCAGGCCCTAGTGTCCGTCTTTGTGGTGCAGCTACAGCTCCATGTCGGCTACTTCGTGTTGGGTCGCATCCTTTGTGCCCTCCTGGGCGACTTCGGTGGCCTTCTGGCTGCTAGCTTTGCGTCCGTGGCAGATGTCAGCTCCAGCCGCAGCCGCACCTTTCGGATGGCCCTGCTGGAAGCCAGCATCGGGGTGGCTGGGATGCTGGCAAGCCTCCTCGGGGGCCACTGGCTCCGGGCCCAGGGTTATGCCAACCCCTTCTGGCTGGCCTTAGCCTTGCTGATAGCCATGACACTCTACGCAGCTTTCTGCTTTGGTGAGACCTTAAAGGAGCCAAAGTCCACCCGGCTCTTCACGTTCCGTCACCACCGATCCATTGTCCAGCTCTATGTGGCTCCAGCCCCAGAGAAGTCCAGGAAGCATTTAGCCCTGTACTCACTGGCCATCTTCGTGGTGATCACTGTGCACTTTGGGGCCCAGGACATCTTGACCCTGTATGAACTGAGCACACCCCTCTGCTGGGACTCCAAACTAATCGGCTATGGTTCTGCAGCTCAGCATCTCCCCTACCTCACCAGCCTGCTGGTCCTGAAGCTCCTGCAGCACTGCCTGGCCGATGCCTGGGTGGCTGAGATCGGCCTGGCCTTCAACATACTGGGGATGGTGGTCTTTGCCTTTGCCACCATTACGCCTCTCATGTTCACAGGTAAAGTGTGTGGGCTCAGGGACAGCTTGTCCCAGAGGCACTGGGTAAGAACCAGGGGCCAGCCACTCACTGTCCCCAGATGTGGTTCATTCCTGTGTCTTTGGAAACATTGTTATGCCTGCACCGGAGGACAGACAACTAAGAAATCCCTCAAAAATGCCATCTTTGATACATGGAAAATACAGACCTTCAGTAGCTAAAGTAATTAATCCACCGTTATCAACCATTAATATTGTTAGTAATCTAGAGCAAAAGACAAAAGTGTGGCTCATACACTAATTGCTTTACCCCTTGGCCTCCCACAGCCTATTCATATGTTCTTAAACAAAGTCCATGCCATTAATGCCTTGGTACTCACTTCTCTGATAAGAATCAAATACCCTTGGTCAGCTTCTTTGGGTTTTTTAAAAACCTGTCTTCTCAGACCACAGATATGAAATTCCTGTTTCAGTTTCTCTTCTCCTCTTCCTCCTTGTCCTTTCCCTCCTTACTTCCTCCCTTTCTTTTTTTGGTAGGAGAGGGTCAACAGGCCAGTAAATGGGGAAGTTAACTTTTTAAAATTTTTATTTGATTGATTTATTTAGAGACAGGGTCTCACTTTGTCACCCAGGCTAGAGTGCAGTGGCATGATCATGGCTCACTGCAGCCTCATCCCCTGGGCCCAAGTGATTCTCCCAACCTGGTCTCTCTAGTAGCTGGTACCACTGGCGCACATTACCACACCTTGCTAATTTTTGTATTTTTTTATAGAGATGGGGTCCTCATCATGTTGCCCAGTCCTGGTCTCTAATTCCTGAGCTCAAGGATCTGCCTGTCTTAGCCTCCCAAAGTGTTGGGATTACAGGCATGAGCCACCGTGCCCAGCTTTAGTTAACTTTTTTTAAAGGGACAGATTTATTTCGATAGAGCCCTAAAACGTGCTGTGTATAGTCAACAATACAATAATCACAGATTTCTTAACTCAACTGCTTGTCTGACAATTAAGCAGAAGGGAGCCTTTCCCTCCTGCTGATGGCCCTGGGGGATGCAGAGATGATGAAGATGCTGTCATTGCTCTGGGTCAGGGGGAGGTCTCAACAGAGTGGGATTTGAGGGGCTTGACACTGGTAGGGGCCTTGGGTGCCTCATCGTATACCTTCTTTGGAGGATCCACTGTCCTGTAGGAGTTTGCAGTTTTGCTGAGGAGTTAACAATCACACAGGGAGAGAAATGGTTATGAAGAAAACAGGAAGCCTGTAAGTAACTGAATGCAAAGGGAAAAGGAACTCACTTTTGCTGTGTCCCTATGCCGTACTCTTCATAGATGTTACCTTTTTACCTTATGTATTGGTTCCCTGAGATTGCTGTAATGAAATACCACAAACTTGGGGGCTTAACACAACAGAAATATATTCTCTCACAGTTCTGGAGGCCAGAAGTCCAAAGTCAGTACCACTGGGCTGAACGGAAGGAGTCAGCAGGCAGTGCTCCCTTGCAAGGCGCCAGGAGAGAACGTGTTTCTCTTTTCTTTCAGCTTCTGGGGCTCCTGGCATTCCTTGGCTTGGGGTGGCCATCACCAGTCTCTGCCTCTGTGCTCACATTGCCTCTCCTCCTCTTTGTGCCTTCTCCATTCTGTTGGTGCCAAATCTCCATCTGCTTTCCTCTTACAAAGATGTGTGATGGCATTTAGGGCCCAACCTGCTAATCCAGGATAACCCCACCCTCTCAGGAGGCTTAACTTCATCACACCTGCATAGACCCATTTTCCAAATAAGGTAGTATTTACAGGTTCCAGGGCTATGAACCTGATGCCATTGGGCACCATTATTCAGCCTCCTATGACTCAGAACCATCCTGTGATGAAGGCCTTATTATCTTCCTCATACACGGAGTCAGGCTCAGAGAGGTTAAGTACCCCAGGCCACACAGATAGTATGTAATGGCATCAGGTTTTGAATTCAGGGCTGACTCCAAAGTTCATGCTTGTTTTCTGTGCCCTGCCATATCCCTACTAAGTGCCAAATGAATGGGTGATGTCTGCTGTGACCACAAGAGGTTCAGACAAGAAAGCAATCAGTGGGAATTAGCATTCATGAGAGCTAGACGGTGGCCAAGCCCAGACAAGGGCAGTCTCCCTTCCTCCTTGACTACTGTCTCCCCACCCTCACCATCAAGGAAGTTCTTCCTGGGTCTAACCTAAGCCCCATATAGAGTATGGATAGGAGATCTGCTGCCTTTCCCTTGGACACCCCTTTCCCCAGCCCTATTTTCCTGATGAGTGTTTATTTCTCCACAGGATATGGGTTGCTCTTCCTGTCATTAGTCATCACACCTGTCATCCGGGCTAAACTCTCCAAGCTGGTGAGAGAGACAGAGCAGGGTGAGTGTCAGGACCCACCTGTATCTGGTTCCTCATGCCCAGTGCTGCCCGAAACGGGCTGATGGGCAGCCATGGCTGGGGGAACAGCTTGCCTTCCCGCCTCTTACCCTGGAGAAGTAAGTGGCCAAGACAAACACACTTCTGTGAAATTGCCCACGACGGGCAGAGGATCATGCCGCCTTGGATTTTCAAACCTCAGAGTTGGGATTTGCAGTCAGCAGAGCACAATGATGTTCTTTCTGGATAACCAGAGCAGAGGATTTACTCTCTGCAGACCTCAGCTTTTCCGTCTGTAAGATGGGTGTGATGATGCCAGAGTTCCCTGTTTCTCTGGGGTCAGCGTGTACAAGCCCAGAAGTGAACAACCTTGTGACATGGGTTTCATTTTCCACAGTTGACAGATGAAGAAACAGAGGCCCAGGGGGTTAAATCGGCTCACCCAAGGTTACTCAGTAAATGGTGGAGCTAGGATGCAAACTCACGTCTGTGTTTAAAAGCAGCTGGTCTCAGGATCTGGGTTTTAGTCCGAGCCCTGCCATAGGCCTGTTTCTTCATCTGTGATGTGAGTGGTTTGCTCTTGATGACATCACAGGCCCCTCTAGATGTGACAGAATTTAATCTCAACCTCTGTTGGGTTGTTGCACATTTTGTAAACTGTGGGTTCTCCTGGTGTATCTACACAGAACAGCTTCTCCAGCCGCTAGGTCTTCATGCCCCAGGCGGGAAACATTCATCTTTCTCCATCTGTCCTGGAATGAGGATCTGATGATGACAGAGACCCTGGTGCCATACAGAGCCCACTGTGGGTTCTGGTGTCCCCAGAATCCATGTGCCTTCATTCATTCACCTAAACTTTTTTCCCCAGCACTTTCTTTGTGCCCAGAGATGTCAGGGAAACACGAGAAAAGAACAGCCCTTACTAACTAGCTACTTCCAGGGGGCCAGGCCCAGTGATGGGTGATTTCCATGTGAACTTAATGTTGCTGACAATCTAGGAAATAGGTATTATCCTTATTTAGCAGAAGGAGGAACAGGAACCCAAAGGATAAAAAGCTATTCAGTGGTGACACAGCTATGAATATTGGAACTGATCAGACCTGCAGTTAATCCCAAACAGATGATTCCAAAGAAGATAAACCAGAAAAAAGCCATTTCCATCAAGCTTTCATCAGACAATATCACATGTACTTTTTTTTTTTCATGTGCTGGGTTCTGTCAGATCACATGTACTTTTAGTGTGGATTTAACAGCAGCCATTTATTTAGTAGCCCCTCTGTGCCAGCTGCTGTCCACATACAACCTTATTGAATCCTCGTCACAGTACATGATGTAGCAGGATTTACTGGTGAGGAAGGGGAGACACAGGTTAAGTGACTGCTTCCGGTCACACAGCTCTGAGGTGGTGGTGCCAGAATTTGAACATGGCCCTTTCGGACTCCGGAGTATGGTATTTATTTCTTCACAGGTGCTCTCTTTTCTGCTGTGGCCTGTGTGAATAACCTGGCCATGCTGACGGCCTCCGGCATCTTCAACTCACTCTACCCAGCCACTCTGAACTTTATGAAGGGGTTCCCCTTCCTCCTGGGAGCTGGCCTCCTGCTCATCCCGGCCGTTCTGATTGGGTAATGCAGGTCCCTGACCCATGCTCATAATGGAGCCCTTTCTCATAAAAGTGCCCTCCTCCCAACCAGAAATGGTAGCTTCATTCCTGGAATCCCCCCCCTCTGGGTGTCTTGTCCCAGGTTGCCCCTCTCTTTGCACATGGCTGCCTAATCCTCCAGGAGCCATTTTCCAAGGGCAAGGTGGCAAGCTAGGTGGAGGAAGGATCAGGCTAACATTGCTACTTGGCAAGGCTGTGTTCTCTCTCCCAGTTCCCCTATTTCCCTCCATTCCCATTTTATAGATGGAACTATGGCAACAGAACTGTGTTAAAGGGAAGGCCAGACAGCTTTGTCAGCTAGTTGAACGTTTTCCTGTATGATATTAAGAATTATATTTCATGGCTGGGCGTGGGGGCTCCTGCCTGTAATCCCGATCCTGTGGCAGGCTGAGGCAGGAGGACCACTTGAGTCCAAGAATTCAAGATCAGCCTGGACAACATAGCAAGACCTTGTCTGTATAAAAAATTTTAAAAATCAGCCAGGCATGGTGGTATGCACCGGTAGTCCCAGCTACTAAGGAGGCTGAGGCAGGAGGATCACTTGAGCCCAGGAGTTCAAGGGTACAGTCAGCTATGATTGTGTCACTGCCCTCTAGCCTGGACAACAGAGCAAGACCCTGTCTCTTAAAAAGAAAAGAAAAGTTATTTTCCAGAGCCATGTCCCTGGACATTGTCCTCCAGCTCTTAGCTTCTCAGCTTGGGGAAGGAGGAGGTTCAGGAGAGCTACCTGGACCAGCCCACCCAAGTAAATCCTGCATCACTTCTCCAGACAGGCCTTGAGGGTACCCCATGTGAAATCCAAACCCTCTCTCTGGTCTCTCACAGGATGCTGGAAAAGGCTGTTCCTCACCCTGAGTTCCAGCAGTTTCCCCAGAGCCCCTGATCTGCCTGGACCAGAAGACAGAGGGCAAGAGGAGCAAAGTGAACACCAAACAACTGAAGGTCTACAGCTGGAGCCCAGCCCACAGCAGCACCAGCAGCTCCTTTCTAAGGGCAGTGCTCTCTTTGGACGAGGTGGTCAAGACAGACCAAGGCACTACCCCATCCATAGCTGAGCCAGCCTCTGACTAGGATCTAGAATCATAACCCACACAGGCCCACTGCAGGACAGGTGGCAGGGGAGCTATTCGGGACAGGAGTCAGTTCTTCCTTTCTGCCATCCATCACTTATAACTCCCCAGACCAGAGGAGAGGTCCTGATGGAGGTGACACTTCAGGGACCAGAGGCAGCACAAGGGCTGGCATCTCTCCTTCCAGCCCAAACTGCACAGTCCCAGGCAGGTTCCTGACACGTGTAGCAGTCACCAGCCACTTCTTAACAATGAATGTGGTGCCTGGTTAGTGCCAGCCTTGGGAAGGAGGGAGGGAGGTGAGAGGGGCTTGGTGATCTCCGGAGGAGGAGCGCTGCCTTCACTGTGGTTGGGGAATTGATCCTTGGCTATGGCCTACCCACTCCCTGGGCTGAAGAGTGCCAATCATTATAAATCAGCTTCAGCAAACTGAAACAAACCTTCTGGTGCCTTGGGCTTTGGGGCCCTCTGTTTTCCTGCTGCCAATCTGCCTGCCATATGTCAGACAACAGAAGCTGCTGGGCTGGGCAGGAGCCCTGAGCTGCTTGGTGGACTGATACCAAGTGGGGCCAGCCAGGGCTTGTACTGACTTGCTGTGCAACCTTAAACAAGCCCCACTAGGAAGGGCTAGATCAGCGATGCCCCGAATTGTTGAATCGGTAATCACATTTGGATGGACAAGTTAGGAAACTTAGCTGATGCTCTGAGATCTTTCCCACCTCCTCATACATTCTACAATAAGATGCCTCTCTTCATGGGCCTGGGGAAAGGATGAATGGGTGTGGCTGGACTTTTGACCTTTAATGTCCCTGAGCAGTTCTTGGCCCTTGGGGAGAAGTGGGGGGAGGATCTGGCTGACTCAGCCCCAACCGAGGGGTAGCAGCTGCAGCCCAGCCGAGCAGAACACCCTGGCCCTACAGGCCTGTGTCTGAGCAGGCTTTGGAGGAAAGGCCACTTCTGAGTCCTCTATCTCAGGAGAAGCCAGGCCTAGGTGCTTGACCTGGTGATCTGAGCTGTGTTTGTCCTGGTGCGGGTGGCAGTCACCTCTGAGCACACTGGCCTTGGCTTAGGGGAGGCTTGTGACTTCAGCTGTTCCGTCTGGGGCTGGATGCTGGACTCTGATTCCCCCAGAGAGACAGAAGATCGGGCAGAGGTCAACCAGAAGGCCACACAGGGCTGTGGACAGCAGTGGAGGGTATACCAAACAGAAAGAAAACGCAGGAAACCTCTCTGAAGACTGCCCATGGGGACCTCAGGAGGGAGTGGGACTGACTGGAGACAAGAAGCCAGAAATCATCCCCTGGAGACACTCAGACACTGTATTGTTGTTGACTCTGTCCTGTGAGGCCAGTGTCCAGGCTGCCCTGCTTGTCATGTCCATGCCCTCACCCTGGCCCCAGTGAGCACTTGCGCTGCATGAGGAAAGGAAGATCAGGTGGGGTCAAAAGCAAAGCATCGAGGCTGGGACTGGCCAAGACAGACTCTGGCAGGGAGGGGAGTGGAAGGAAGGAGCCCCAAACCTGGAGTGAGAACTTTGACTTTCTGACGATGTGGCCGAGAGCTAGGAGTCGCCTGGCCAGCACAGCCAAGAGTGGGGCTGGGGGTGCAGCCAGCCTTAAGGTGTCAACACCCGGCCCTCATTGGGGAAGAGCCTTCAGCAGTCCCCGTGGCCTGCAGCCTGGGTTTATTGGAGGGTACTTTCTTGCCCTCTGAACCCAGTGGAGGAGGGGGCAATGGGACATTCCTGCTCAGTTATTTCAGTATGGCCCCTGGGTCAGCTTTTTTTTTTGCAAAATCCTATCCCCCACTGCTAGAGTCTTTGAAGCAAGGGAGAAGCAATAGCCCAGCCTCAGAATGATTCTCAGGAGAGCAATTCCACTGCCAGTGGACTGGGTGCCAGGAGGTCTAGGTCTGGATCTGGGGCTGCCACTAATGACAGGAAACTGGGCTTATCTTCAACCTTTCTGAGCCTCAGTGTCATTATCTGTAAAATGGGGATGATAATACCAGGTAGAGTTGCTCTGACGACTGGAGACCAAGGAGCGGAGTGTGTGGGAAATGGCAAAGATTCGTGAGGGCTTCATGCTTTAGAGATTTGCTACCCTTAACCACCAGCATCAGCTCACCTGGGAATCTGTAAGAAACGCAGAGTCTCAGGCCCTACCCCAGATCTCCTGATTTTAAATCACCTGGGAATCTGTAAGAAATGCAGAGTCTCAGGCCCCACCCCAGATCTCCTGATTTTAACAACATTCCCAGGTGACTTGGATGCATGTTAAAGTTGGAGAAGCTGCCATAGGTGACAACCTTTTGCCTTTTCAGGACTTTGCCTCTTTCCACAGAGCTGCAGGTTCTGTCCAGGCTGCTTTTACTGCCATGGGGGCTGCCTGGTCCCTGAGCAAGCGGTGGGTAGCCCTGGATAGCTGAGGGGCTGGGGTAGCCAGCTGGGCCAGACCAGGAAGGAGCCTGAGGCACAGCACCAAGGCATGGGGTAGGGTGGGCTTTGAGGCACGGCTTCCCCATGCCCAGACTCAGGCCCAAACAGGAGGCTCCTGTGCACCAGCAAGTGCAGCAAAGCTGGCTGCAGCGACAAGGAAGTCAGAGGGAGGGCCAATTTACCTCAACCCTCGCCCTGGATGTGGCAAAAGATACCACACTGAAGGAAGCTGTAGGGGATCTGGGACCTAGTCAGGCTGGCTAAGGGCACTGAGTGATTACAGGGCAAGGCCACAGAGCGGCAGGAAGTTGTAAGTGCAGGGGCCAGGCACAGTCTGAGTGAAGAGCCATGATGGCACTCATCCCTGGCTGGCTCTTGGGCCCAGGCCCTTGCTCAGAATACAGTGCCCAGGCCTGCCTGGGCATTGCCTTAATTCCTGTCTGAGGCTGCCTTCCTTCATCCTCAAACTGGCTGCTATCAGAGCAGAAGGGAATGCAGAACCACCCCCACCCCAACTCCAGTGTCTCCAGAACTGAGCAGGGACCCTCCCCATGACAGAGACAGACAACCCAATGGCAGGGCATGGGGGAGTTCTAACCTCCCGAGCCCAAGTCTGACTTCCCTTCCCTCTCCAGATACTGAGGAAAGTGGGCTGGAGGTGGGCCATGAGGGTGGGGGACAGGGAGAGGGAGAGCCATTTGCTAAGAAGAGCCCAGGTTGTCTCAGCCCAGGGAGGCCAGTTTGAGGAGCTGTTCCTTCAGAAAGGACGATGGAAGTGGAAGTCACAGCAGGGCTGGGAACTGGCGACTGGTTAGGTCGGACCCATGGGTGCAGCACCCTCCAAACTGGTGTCAGAGCCTGCAGATGAGTCCCGGGAGGAGCGGCCCTGTAGGAAGCGGATGATCTTCTCAATGGTGGCCTCCTGGTATTCGTGGGACCACCTGTGGGCACAGGAGCCATGTGGGTCAGACAGCTGGGCAGAGGGAGCTGCTAGTCAGCTGTTTGCCCACACTCTGCCTGTCATGGTGATCTGTACCCTACCCCCCTGGTCCCAGGGCCCCGGGGCTCACTTAATGCCGTTGAAAGTAAGCACAGCCTGCATGTCCTCAGGCAGGACCTGGGGCTCAGGCCACTCGAAGCCATCAATGACGGGCACAATGTTCTTGCCACAGCTTAAAGCAGTCACAATCTCCTGGAGAAAGAAAGGAAAGGAGGAAGATACTCCTGTATCCATTTAGGGACCCTTGTAGCCGGGCAGGTGCTGGGAGGGCCACTAGCCCGAGGCTGGGTCCAGGGCAGGACACCAGTCCTGAAGTCCACCTTGATGTCTCCCTTAACCCTTGTAGTATAATAAAAAATAAATATTTTGTCTCTGCCCAGGGTTCCTGGCACAGAGCCCCTAAAACCCTTGGAATCTCTTGAGTGATGAGTGTCTTTGTATGCTAAAGAGATGATTCCCCACTGGGGGCCTGGGGGCGCTATGGGGGTAGCCTAGATAGCTTCAGGAAGCGGCTGGTCACCAGGGAGACCAAGGCATGATTAGAGGATTGGAACTTTCAGCCCCACCTTCCAGCCTCCAGAGGTGCTGGAGATTGAGTTCAATCACCAATGGCCAATGATTTAATCAATCATGCCTACATAATGGAACCTCCATAAAAACCCCTAAACAAGGGGTTTTGAAGAGCCTCCAGGTTGATAAATGGGTGTAGGTGCTGGGAAGGTGGTAGAAGGCATGGCATCCACACCTCTACCCTCCACACACAGAGATCCTATGTATCTCTTCCATTTGGCTATTCTTGAGCTGTGTCCTTTGTAAGTGTGAAATTAAATAATTCAGCTGGGCATGGTGGGTCACGCCTATAATCCCAACACTTTGGGAGTCTGAGGCAGGAGGATCACTTGAGCCCAGGATTTTGAGATTAATAATATTATTTATTATTATTATTCAAGCTTTGTTAAATCAAACCTAAAGCTCTTGGAACTTTAAATTATTCTGAGCCTTGACAGGAATTGGTCTATGCAGCCTGAGTCATGAGGCATGCAGCTGCAACTTCCACCTATTTTTTTTTTTTACTTCTACCTTTTTTTTTTTTTTTTTTCTGTAATTACTTAGGAAGACCAAATGGCACCAGAGATAAGACCCCCTTAGATCCCCACTCAGATCACCACCCCTCCTCAGGGGGTAATAAAGTCATCTTCCTTGGAATGTAGCAATCTATAACCAATCAAAGCATTGTAACATATGCACTGGTCTTATATGGAAAATGTTGTAATCCTGCTAAAATTTCTCTGTCTTTGCCTGTGGAAGTGAAACCTTAACTTCTCCAATTTGGAGTACTCACCCCATTCCTTTGGAGTCAATGCTTCCTGGGTGGCTATTCTCAAACTTTGCACTCAAAGAAACTCTATACTTAGTCTTATTTTCTGAATCTCATTATTTAAGGTTGACATAATAAGCAACTAATAGTAAGTAAAGTGCTTCCTCAGTTCTGAGTCATTCTAGCAAGTTGAACCTCGGGGTGTCATGGGAACCCCTGAAGTTGTAGCCAAATCAAACAGAAATGTGGTAGCCTGGGGACCTGGGCCTCGTGACTGACATTTCAGAATTGAATTGAATTGTGGGATACCCAGCTGGTGTTGGAAAGTTGGAGAATTAGTGGTTAGTGTGGGAAAAACCCCAAACAATTTGGTGTCAGAAGAAAAACATCACAATCCTGCATACAGGTTGATCCATCATGCGCCCTGCCAATTGTACTCCTTACTTATTTCTCAAATCCACCATTTTTCCCTGCCTCCACCCCACTACCACCCTCTTCCAATCCCTATTATCTTTAAGCCCCCACCAGGTCTTTCCTCATCCACCCTTGTCTTCTCTAATTCACTCTCCACATTGCCCTTTCATGTAGCTAATACTTGCAAAATGCACATCTGACAAATCAGATCCTGTCACTCCCTACTTAAAACTCTTCAAGACTTTGCATGGTCTTAGAATAAAGTCCAAACTCCTTCATGTGGCCTGTGAGGCCCTATGTGGTTGGCCACAGTCCACTTCTCAAACTCTACCCCTGCTCTGTCCTCCCAGTCACACAAAATAAGCTTCCTTGTCCTTCCCTCTTGATAATGCCCATTCATTTTTCTGATCTGAGCTCAATCAACTCTTACACAGGGCAGTTGTCTCCCACTGCCCTGACCAAATCAGTTCTCCTATTATAGGCTCTGCAGAACATATTATAGTTGTAAATTTTAATTAATTAATGGATAAATTACTCAGTATTTGTCTTCTCTGCCAGACATGAGGAGGGATCATATCTATTTTTCACTGACTTTATATCTTAGCATCTTTCACAGAGCCCTTACAGTTAGCCCTTGCTAAATATTTAATGGATGGATGAATGAATGAATGAGAAAACATAGCACAGCAGTTAGGGCTGCACTCTGGAATCATCAAATCGGGGTTCACATTGAGTCTCTGACACAGGCTCTATGACCGGAGGCAAAACTAATAGGTACTTAAACTTTTTGTTTTCTCTTTTTTTTTTTTTTTTGGTGGAGGGCAGGGAACAGGATCTCACTTTGTTACCCAGGCTGGAGGGCAGTGGCGCCATCAAGGCTCACTGCAGCCTCAACCTCCTGGGCTCAAGCCATCCTCCCACCTCAGCCCCCCAAGTAGCTGGGACCACAGGCATGTGCTACCATGTCTGGCTAATTTTTTGTATTTTTTAGTAGAGATGGGGTTTCACCATGTTGCCCAGGCTGGTCTCAAACTCCTGGCCTCAAGTGATCCTCCCACCTTAGCATCCCAAAGTGTTAGGATCACAGGCGTGGGCCGCCACATCTGTTCCTGTTTTCTAATATATAAAGCAGAGTTAATGATAGATTTTTCCATGGAATAAGCGCAACATTCCATGGCAAGTAATTAGAACAGCGCTTAGCACACAGTGTATGCTTAATACGTAATAGGTGTTATTATTTCCTCTTCTATAAAGTGGGGATAATAAAACCTACCCCAAAGCATTGTTTTAAGGAATTATTTGCTATTAATGGGGTTCCGTAAGTGCTTATTGAATGCTTTTCTTCCTCTCAAGAGGGAACCAAAGGGATTTTACTTTCTTGAGTGCAGTTCACTTGTGGTTTTCCATATTGATTACCCACTAATGTGACTTCAGGGAAAGGAGTTTTAAAACCAGAGGCAATTAAGCACCAGAAACAACCAAAGAGGGATGACGGCGCCTCTGGGGCTGGTCCAAGGCAAAGGCTCTTCCCGCCTCTTTGCCATCTGCTGGGACGACAAGGGGTGCCAAGCATTCTTGGGAAGTGGAGCCTTCCTGGGGAAAGAACATCTGTAACTTTGCCCTTGACTGGCTTCCTGGGGAGCCTCTCCATTTTACAGATGGAGAGAAAAAAGCCCAGAGAGGAAGGGATTTCCTCCTAAGCCACACGTACGCCCAGCCCACGAGGGACCAGTCCTCTGACTCAAGCCTCGAGAGTCCAAGTCCAGGCTGTTTCAACCAAGCCCTGCTGCCTCTCTGCTGAGCACTGGAATGAATCCTGACCCTGCAGCAATTTATTTGGAAATCTTTAGACATTTGTTTCATCCAGAATTATACAAAACCAAAGACAGTACAAACTGTTTATTGCACAGATTCAGAGGCTGGCCAAGAAAGGGATAATAGCGGCCAGGTACGGTGGCTCATGCCTGTAATCCCGGCACTTGGGGAGGCCGAGGCAGGCAGATCACAAGGTCAGGAGATCGAGACCATCCTGGCCAACATGGTGAAACCCCGTCTCTACTAAAAAATATATATATATCTAAATTAGCTGGACATGGTGGCGTGTGCCTGTAGTCCCAGCTACTCAGGAGGCTGAGGCAGGGGAATTGCTTGAACCCGGGAGGTGGAGGCTGCAGTGAGCCGAGATCCTGCCACAGCACTCTAGCTTGGTGACAGAGTGAGAGTCTGTCTCAAAAAAAATGAATAAATAAAAGAAAGGGATAATGGTTTGTTCAGGATCACCTAGCTGGTTGAGAACGAAAACAATTAGAGTCAAGTCCTTTGGCTGGGCATGGTGGCTCATGCCTCTAATCCCAGAACTTTGGGAGGCCGAGGCAAGCACTGAACTCCAGACTTGAGCTCAGGAGTTTGAGACTAGCCTGGGTGACATAGTGAAACCCTATCTCTACTGGAAAAAAAAAAAAAAGAAAAAAAATGGAGTCAAGTCCCCTAACCTGGTAAATCTACTAGATAAGTATGGCTTTCTCAGGCATGGCATCTCAGCTTCATCAGTATCACTTGTCTGCTTAATCATTGATTCAATTGTTCTATAAACTCCTCTACAACCTCTCTCTCTTTCTCTCTCTCTCTCTCTTTTTTTTTTTTTTTTTTTTTTTGGTGCAATCGCATAGAGCCGCCTTTGTACCATGCATGGTTTGAAGCACCAGGGACACACATGAACGAGGCAAGGTCTGAAGTCTCATGGAGCTCACAGACACTCTTCTCTTTCTCTCAAAACACTGCCTGCCACCTGCTCTGGGTCATCAACCATGTTCTTACTGGATGCTCACCTGGCCCAGTGCCCCTCCCCAAACCAGGCCTAGTACTCAGCCCCTCCTATGTGGCCTCTGGGGCTTGACTCCACACTCCACGTGGACTGCATTTCAGTGTCAGAGCCTTCATTCTAAAACCCACTGCCCTGGCATCTTCTTCTTCATGGGCTCCTTGTTTTCCAGTGCTTTAAGCACAGGTCTTCTCCTGCCTTTAAACACTCCCTAACCTGGTTTCCATAGTTCTTATCCAGCCAATGGTGTGCTGGTAACTTTATAATAACTAGCTATTCATGGGGGGAGAAAACCCACCAGCCAATCAACCAAACAAACAAAACTCTGATTTGTAGTGGTTCCCAATTTCCTTGGTGTAAATACTCCCACCGTGGCTGATGTCAAGTTACCAACATGACATCACTGGATGTGGAGTTGTGAAGAGATACAGATAATCATCTCTGGTGTCGACTGAATCCAGCCCTACCCCATCACCTCCCCTCACACCCCCTCAGATCTGTGCCATAGAATGCAGTGTGGATCTTGGGAAAGCTATCAGCTTTGGAGTCAGATAGATGGAATCTGAAGCCTAGCTTTTCTGATTTCTACACTAGCAGTGTATCCAGGGGAAAATTATTCTACCTTTCTGAGCCTCGGTTTCTTCATCTGTGATATGGAGAAAGCAGTACCCAAGATGTATATGGGCTTTCAGCACTGTTCTCCTTCCTACCTTTATTCCTTTGCTTTATTCCTATTTCCTTTGTTCTCCTTCCTACCTTTATTCCATGCTGTTACCCTGGCCTGGGATGCCTTCTCTTCCACTTATCTAGACTCTTAAGATTCTTCTCAAGACCTGTTTCCTCCATGAAGTTCTCCCTGATTATTCCAGTCCTCTGAGGACTAAACTCTGATTTTTTTTTTTTTTTTATCTTGCCCAAATTCCTACCTAAGGGGCCTAGGGAGTCATGCCCTACAAACCATAAAGTCTTATTGGAGGGGTTTTAATTTTAAACCTATATAGCGTGGTCTGCTTTCTAACCTGACTCTAATATAACATCATATAATAAGGGAGGAAATAAAAATATTTTAACCCCAAATATATTTCCCTGCCATATCTTGAAATTGCGCCACAAGTTTGTCTCTTGTGGGAAAAAGCCACATTCTGTAGAGAATCCCCTTCCCCCCAATTTTTTCTTTTTCTTTTCAGACTCAGGAGATAATCACAAAGAGCCAGGCACCCTTTTAAGTCCGATAAGAAACATTTTATAACCTACTCCCTCTGAAGTCTGCCCTGAGAACTTCCTCTGCACAAATAAAACTTGGTCTCCACAACCCTTTATCTTAACCTAAACATTTCCTTTCTATTGATCCCAGGTCTTCAGATAAACTCAACTAATTATCAACCAGAAAAATTTTAAATTTACCAAAAGCCTGGAAGCCCCCACTTTGAGCTGTCCTGCCTTTCTGAACCAAACCAACGTACATCTTAAATGTATTGATTAATGTCTCGTGTCTCCCAAAAATGTATAAAACCAAACTGTGCCCTGACCACCTTGGGCACATGTTTTAAAGGTCTCCTGAGGGCTACGTCATGGGCCATGGTCACTCATATTTGGCTTAGAGTAAATCTCTTCAAATATTTTACAGAGTTTGACTCTTTTCGTTGACATATTGTTGCCCTCTCCCTTCTCCAAACCCCTGTGGCAAGCAAGAGGTTTGCTTACCTGGCTCAGCATTTACACCAACTTTTATGCGATCTAGTCATTTTGAGACAGCATCCCATCTGTTGCCCAAGCTGCAGTGCAGTGGCGCCATCTCCGCCTTCTGGGCCCAAATGAGTTCCCTGCCTCAGTTTCCCGAGTAGCTGGGATTACAGGTGCATGCCACCATGCCTGGCTAATTTTTGTATTTTTTTAGTAGAGACAAGTTTTCACCGTGTTTCCCAGGCTGGTCTCAAACCCCGGACCTCAAGTGATCCTCCCGCCTCAGCTTCCCAAAGTGCTGGGATTACAGGTGTGAACCACTGTGCCTGGCCCTGTGGGCATATTCTTGTCTCTGAGCTGACTGCTTGTCTCATCCTGTCTCTCAGATGACTACTGCATCCCTCAGCCCCAACTCCAATTCCTACTGACAGATTAATGATTAATAACCTGAAGATGCAATGGTGAATCTATCCATCCATCCATTCTATAAGTATTCAGTAAGTTCCTACAATGTGTCAGGCACTGAAAATACAATCATGAATTAAACAGAGGTAGTAGTTATAATAATTATGTTAATAATAATAATAATAGCTACCACTATTGAGCAGTTACTATGTGCCAGCCATTCTGCTAAGTACTTCACAAATTTTAGCTTTTTTAATCCTTATAACAATGTTATAGACAGTTAGATACTATTATTACAATACCCTCTTTCCAGTAATAAATACAAAGCTTATTGGGATTAAGTAACTTGCCCAAGGCCAGAGCCAGGATTCAAACTCTCAGTTTTGAGCTCTCAACTCAATAGAAGAACTATTCCCTTCTGCCTGTCGCTATGCTCTCGTGTCTCTCATGGAAGTTATTTTTCAAAGCATTTTTCTCTCTCTCTGATCCTCACAACAGTTCTACAGGGTGAGTGGAACAGCTAAGATACCCCATTTTGCAGATAAGAAAACTGAGGCTCAGAGAGCCAAAGCCTCGTCTCTTGTCCCTTGTAGCTTGCTAAAGTCCTATTATAGTCAGAGCTGTGGTTCCTGACTTCCAGCTGGGTCAGGGAGGTGCTGCAGGGCTAAGTGTGCTGGGATGTGCAGACAAGAAGGACTAGAAGACAACCCTATCTTCTGGACCATGGGCCAATGCTGGGACCTTAGAGGCGTAGGTGGGCACCTACCTTATGCACCCAATCCTTGCAGTCATGGTCCTGCATGCACTTGTCCAGTGCTCCAGGTGACAGCACCAGCACAAAGTTGCGGGCACCCATGACACTCTGGATGAGTTTGTCTTCGAACTTGCCTGCTTCCAGCTTCTCCACATCAATGAAGACACTGAAGCCGTGCAGCTGCAGGTGCACCTTCAGGAGGCTGCAAGTAGGTCCTGAGTCAGTGCCACAGCCTTGTCTCAAGGCCCTGCCACCACCTGCCTGCCCCTCCTCACCTGGCCAGCTGGGAACCTGAGTTCCGGCGGTAGCTGATGAAGACATCTGGGGTGTCCCCACTGGGTTTGCCACCAGTACAGGGCAGCGGGGAGTGTAGCATTTCTAAAGCGGGCAACAGGCAGCATGGTGAGGGTGGCCCCTCCGCATCACTCACTGTCAGGTATATCATCCCTCTACCCAGCCCTCTCAGCCCAGCCTGGGAAGGGTGGCCTCTCCCAAAAAGGAGAAATGGGGCCTACAGAAGGAGGGTCATGTTATTGTTGGGTTACTCTTAGGAGGCAGGCACTGAGTTCTAGGGACATTGATATGCATGCACTTCCAGCCCTGCCCACTCTCTGGAACTCCAGACCTGCACAGCCAGCTGCCCACAATCACTCCAAATTCAACACACTCCAAATCTCCCGCTTATTCCTTCTTCCCTATTTCCCACCAAAGCCAGACACCTGGGTATCAGCCTCAACTCCTGCCTCCCATTTAATTTATTCAACAAATACTTCCTAAGCACTCGCTGTGTGCCAGAACTATCTTCAGTGCTTGAGATTCGGCAGTGAATAAAACAGACCGCACTCTGCTCCTCTGGAGCAATGCTCCGTGCTCAGCACAGGCACCACATTCTGATTCTACCTACTAAACATCCAGGACTCCAGCCTCCGGGCCCTTCCCTGGCTCAGGTTTCCAGTGCCAGCCTCCTCAATGGCCTCCCTAAACCCAGCTAGAATTTTCCAGTCTAGGCCAGGCGCAGTGGCCCACACCTGTAATCCCAGCACTTTGGGGTGCCAAGGTGGGTGGATCACTCGAGGCCAGGAGTTCGAGACCAGCCTGGCCAATATGGTGAGACCCCCATCTTCACAAAATATACAAAAAATTAGCCGGGCATGGTGGCACATGTCTGTAATCCAGCTACTTGGGAGGCTGAGGCATGAGAATCACTTGAACCTGGGAGGCAGAGGTTGCAGTGGCCCAAGAACGCACCACCACACTTTAGCCTGGGCAACAGAGTGAGACTCTGTCTAAAAAAAGAAAAGAAAAGAATTGCCCATTGTAGTCCATTTGCCACAGCTACCAGAAGATCTTTCTAAAATCCAAATCTGAGCATGTCACTCCTCCCACTTAAAAACTATGCAAGGCTCACTATACGAACTGTTTTTTTAAAGCTATTTTTGCCCTAGGATTTTCCTGTTGTTTAAAAATGCAATCTTGTGCTGGGTGTGGCGGCCCACACCCGTAATCTCAACACTTTGGGCGGCTAAGTTGGGAGGATTGCTTGAGACCAGGAGTTTGAGAACAGCCTGGGCAACATGGTGAAACCCTGTCTCTACAAAAAAATACAAAAATTAGCCGGGTGTGGTGTTGCGCGCCTGTGGTCCCAGCTACTTGGGAGGTGAGGTGGGAGAATTGCTCCAGCCCAGGAGGTTGAGGCTTCAGTGGGTTGTGATTGCGCCACTGCACTCCAGCCTGGGTGACAGAATGAGACCTTGTCTCAAATTAATTAATTAATTAATTAAAATTAAAATGAAATCTTGAAGTTTTAATGGGAGCTGCCATGTAAAAATAATAAAAGCCAACCTGCATTAGTTGAAGCATAAGAATGCAGTCAAAGCTCAGTCCCTTGTGTCTTGTGGGTGCTTAGTCTGTAATTGCTGAATGAATGGATAAAATGAAAAGAATTCATCTTCTTATAATATTTAGACACAACCCTCATAGATAACATTTGTTTGTTTATGAAGCAGAAAGGCAAGGCTCAAGTCCCAGTTTTGCCATCTAATGACTTTTATGACTGTGGGAAATGTATTTGAATTCTTTAAATGTTATTGTCATTATCTTTAAAGTGAACACCCACGATGGAAATATTCTATATCTTTAATGATGATGGTGGGGGTCGGGGGGGTCACACAGGTGTCTTTTAAAACTCCTCAAACTGACACTTTTTTTCTTTTTTGAGATAGGGTCTCACTCCTGCTGCCCAGGCTGGCTGAAGTATAGTGACCTGATCACAGTTCACTGCAGCCTTAACTTCCTGGGCTCAGGTGATCCTCCCACCTCAGCCTCCCAAGTAGCTGGGACTACATGTATGCGCCACAACACCCAGTTAATTTTTTGTATTTTTTTGTGCTTTTATAGAGACGGGCTTTTACCTTGTTGCCCAAGCTGGTTTCAAACTCCTGGACTTGAGCGATCTGCCTGCCTTGGCCTCACAAAGTGCTAGAATTATAGGCATGAGCCACAGTGCCGGGCCCTCAAACTGGACACTTATTCCTCTTTTTATTCTTTCAAGAGTTCTTTAAGGTTGATTTTAAAAACTGAACACTCACTGCATAGAATCAATGTAGAGACTGATAAGATAATATCTTAAAAATCTAACAGAGTACCTTGTAATTGACCATAAAGATTAACTAAGTGGTAAATTAGTAAGTTTAAAATAAATTAGCCAATAATGAGGGTGGCTAGAGGCCTAGAATTCACTCTAAACCACCTCTAGACCCAAATTTTGTAAGCTGTTGGCCAATAGGATAACACACATACGCACACACCCTTCCCACCTATACCCCACTGCATGGATTCTCCATCAGCCGCTGCCTCTGCCTGGGCTGCCCTTCCTGTTGCCACCCCTCCCCGCCAGTGCCTCTCTCAAGACATGGTGAGGCATCCTGTCCTCTTTGAAATCTAGACCTGGGTGGATGGGGTGGGCTGGGCTTCCTCTGTGCTCCCACTGGAGACCTAGGTAGCTTTCTGCAGGGGCCCTCTGCCTGTTTAATACCTCCCTTCCTCCCACCGCCTACCCACCTAAGATTGGGAACTTCTTGAGGCAAAGTGCAACGTATTCATCTTTACATCCTCAGAGGTCAGTGTGACCCACGTTTGTGCTCAATCAATCCACGGTGAGGCTGGAAGTCTCCACCCTGTGTTTCCCCTCACCCTTCTAGGGCCGTGGCTGGGGCTGGGGCTGGGGCTGGGGCGGGGTCCCGGGTGGGCGGGCTGACCTCTGGCCGCCGTGAGGATGCGGGCGCGGTGCACGCCCAGGCGGACGCCGCAGTCCTCCAGCAGCTGCTGCTCAGACACGCGGTGCAGCAGGGAGCGGTCCAGGCCGCAGCTGACCAGGCCGTAGGTGTACTGGCGGAAGCGCGGGTCCAGGCTGCCCAGCCAGTCAGCCAGGTTGCTGCGGTCGCACGTAGAATAGTTGGCGAAGGTCCTGAGCTCAGTGAGCTCCCTAAAGAACCTGCACCCCACGGAGGAGAAGACGCTGAGGTCCAGACTCAGATGGGCTGTGGACCGAGAGGGCGCTTATTTAGACCTAGCTGGGGTCCGGCGGACAGGAGGCTCTGTACCTCTTGCGGGTGATGCCAGATTTCATGCCCAGGTCGGTCTGGAGTTCCTCCTCCGTGAGCCGCAGAAGCAGGTCGCCATCCACCTGCTGCTCCTGGGAGAGGAGTCGGGTGTCAGGAAGGGCTCCGCTACTTAGCCCTTGGACCTCGAGCACAAGATGCAAGGGAAGGAACTGGAGATGGCGTGGAGGAGGCGGATGGGACCTAGGTCAGAGCCGAGTGACCCCAAGGGTGGCTGCGTACAGGCTCCCCACCCCTAGAAGCCACACCAGCGCCACAGGAGTGCGAGGCCGGGAGGGAACACAGTCTCTGTGCACAGGGCGCCCGCTCTGACTTGGGGGAGGTGCACCCCCCACGACTGTACCCGGAAGCTCTCGCAGTACTTGGAGAAGCCAATCTGCTGCAGCCATGTCTGGACCTCGGCCTCCTTCCAGCTGGGCACGGAGGGCAGGATGGGCCGTGGCACCTCCTCGCCCAGCAGGCGCAGCGCGCGCTTTGCCAGCGCCGACTTAGTGCCATTGGTAGAGTAGGAAACCAGGCGTTTCAGGCTCTGGATGGCGCCGATGTCGCTGAATACCTAGGGAGGGAGTGGGGAGAGGGCTCTAGGTTCCACCAGCTCTCCAGGTGCCCCCACATGTTCCCAGTCCCTCTCCTTGTCTCTTCTCACAACCCAAAGTCTCTCCATCTGCCCTGGCCCCGCCTTCAGCCACTAAGTCATGGGGTCTTGCGGATTCCCCCTCCTAAAGTTCTCTCAATTCTTGACCAGGTCCTGACTCTGGATGGGTTGGGGGCGGAGGGGCAGATCCCTCCTTCATATCCTTCTTATAGCATCTACAGGCCCTGGAGTAAAGTTGAGCTCTCAGCATGGCCCTAGGCAGAGCACAGTGCAGCTGCCCATCACTCCCAGTTCACCTCACCTTCCACCAACTTACACTTCACACACACACATACATGCACTCACATTCCAAGGCTTTCACACCTCTGGGTCTTGGCCCACTATGTTTCCAAATCCTTAGTTCTTCCAGCCTGCTTGTGGGAATCCTCCCAATCCACGGAAATCCTACTCATCCACCAGAATCCAAATCGATTAGCACCTCCTTCATGCAGCCTGCTTTGATTTCCCCACATCCTGGCCCACAACTCCAATGAGGGCTTATATACCACACTCTGAATGCCACTGTCACTGGTTGACAATGCACCTTCCACTGGAGTATAAGCTGAGGACATGTGTTAGTCACTACTGGAACCCTGTATCTGACACAATGAAGGACACAGAGTGGGACTCAAGATGTCTTTGTTGAACTGGACTCACTTGGCCTCGATGGGAAAGGGGTGACAGGCTGGTGATCCTGATTGCTGCCCAGATCCAATCCTTGAGGTCCTCACTCCCTACTTCCTTTAAGACCCTTCTCCCTAAGCAGAATGACCTGCCTTATAGAGCAAGTCATCCCTGATCCAGCTCTGGAGAGCAGAGAGAAGAATCAGAAGTTCCTAGAACACTGGATGTTGAAAGAGGCCCCAGAGACCCCCCTAACGTAGCAGTCTCCTTTTTTTTTTTTTTTTTTTTGAGACGGAGCCTTGCTCTGTAGCCCAGGCTAGAGTGCAGTGGTGCGATTCCGGCTCACTGCAACCTCTGCCTCACAGGTTCATGTGATGCTTTTGCCTCAGCCTTCCGAGTAGCTGGGATTACAGGTACCTGCCACCACGCCCAGCTAATTTTTGTATTTTTAGTAGAGACAGAGTTTCACCATGTTGTCCAGGCTGGTCTCGAACTCCTGACCTCAAGTGATCCACCTGCCTCGGCCTCCCAAAGTGCTGGGATTACAGGCGTGAACCACCTCATCCAACCAGCAGTCTCCTTTTTATCTGTAGGCAAACACATGATGGGTGACAATCATCTGTAAGATACACACCTTTAAGCACCCCCCGATGACAGCTGGGGTACAGACAAGGTGGGCCATGGGGTATGCACCACATCCCTGTGCACCAGCTATCACCAACCTCCAAGGCTCCACAGAAAAATGCAAAGAAGAGTGACATTGTAGGGAGAATCTTCAACCTGTAATATTTTAAAAACAAAGCCCAGCTGGGGATGTGGTACGTGTTTGTAGTCCCAGCTACTTGGGAGGCTGAGGCAGAGAGGATCACTTGGAGCCTGAGAGTTTGATGCCAGCCTAGGCAATATAGTAGAACTCTGTTTCCAAAAAGTACAATCCACAAACTTTCGGTGCTAAAACTATCATTATCCCACACATCCAGGGTAAGAACTGCTGCTGTGGTTCAATTTATTGAATTTTCCACAAGATAAAAATGAGGCCCAGATAGAGGCCCAGAGAGGGGAAGCCAGGTGCTCAAGGTCACACAGCAAATTAAAGCAGTGGGCAAAGGTCACTGGTAGATTAGATCCTGGACATGAGGACCCCTTGGGACTCTGGTGGGGGTTATCTGGCTGACACACTGATGTCCTGTCCCAAGCCCCAAGCCTCTGTCTCTAGCAGCCATCTTCCCAGACTCCAGACTCAAAAGGCTAAACTACCCACTGAAGCTCCCCAGCTGGGCATCTCTCAAGCATCTCAAACTCCACATGTCCTGCAGAAGTCACTTTCTTCCCCTTCCCCACTTCCACTTGTCTGTCACCCAGTTCACCTTATTCATTGCCTATGTTCAGGGCCAGAAGTCATCCTCAGCTCCTCTCTCTGCTTCTCCCAGTCACCAAGTGCTAACTCTATCTCTTAAACAACTCTTGAATCTGCTCTCTGCCACTGGCATCGCTATCTCCCCCTTCTCCCAACGCCCACCCCTTCAAGTCATACATAGTCTTTAGTCTTGCCAAGCCCCTTTCCACACAGCAGCTAGGATGATCTTTGTAAAACACAAGTGTTCCCTTGCTTAAAAACTTCTTAGTGTCTTCCTCTTGCCCCCAAACCCAAGTTCAAACTTTGGGACTTGCCTTCAAGGTCAAAATGACTGGCTCCCCTCCCCCCCTTTGTCTTGCTTCACCTAATTCTGATGTGTATTTCAAGACCCGGTTGAATGTGACTTCCTCTGGGAAACCTTCCCAAAGGCTCTCTAACCCCTGATCCACCCAACCCCACATCTGCACCCACCTTGGTCTTGCCTTGCAGGCTCTTGATGGCAGCCTCCGCGCAGAGATAGAAAGCCCCGATGCACTGCGCCTCCAAGCGGTTAGAGTCGAGCAACGGCACAAGGCGCTGCAGGTCATCGGGCCCGCGGCCCTGGCTTGTGTCGCTGGCGTCCACCAGACAGCGGGCGAAGCGGCCAGGGTCCAGCGAGGCCACAAGCGGCTCCACGAGCGCCAGCGTGCCCGAGCGTTCCACCTCGCGCTCCACCTCCTTGTTAGTCGCCAACACCGCTACTGCGAGGCAGGCGTGCAGCCGAAGCAGCTCGTCCTCCTTGGAGAAGGCGAGCGGGAAGAGCCACTCGGCTGCGCGCTTCTCCACCATGCGCCGCTGCACCGCCTGGCCCCCATGCAGCGCGCAGTTGCCCAGCGCCAGCGCGCAGTGGCGCAGTAGTGCGGGGTCTGTGCGGCGGCACCAATACAGCACCGCGTCCAGGCCGCCGGCCGCCACCAGCTTCTGGCACGTCTCCTCTGAGTGCTTGAACATGTGCTCCAAGATGCCTGCCACGCTCCGCGCCAGCTCTACGGGTTCGCGCTCCTTCGCCAGGTTCAGGATCACGCCCAGCCCGATGCGCGCCACGCGGTCCCTGCCCAGTGAAAGTGGAAGGGGACGGTGGAATTGCCGCAGCTTGTGGAGCTTGGCTTGCCCGTTTGGGGCCTGGTCACTAACCCTCTCTGGGCCTCACTGGCCTCATATAGGGGATAGGATTCCCCTCCCTGCTCCCCACCCTCACCTCCTCCCCTGGGAGGACCCCACTTCTCGGATTCTAAGGGGGCTCTATCCTGGCCACAGCCATTCTCCCCCTCATTCCTCCCCTTGAGAGGCAGTATGTGTGGTGGCTAAGAGCCTCAGCTCAGGAGCAGATCCCCTGGGTCCTGGTTTCTTCTCAGCCCGTTTTCTAACTGGGATAAAGGAGACCTTTGGGCAGCTTCCTTTATCTCTCTACCTTGCTTTCCTTATCTCATAAATAGAAAATACAAATACCTGCCTCATAGGATTATTATCAGGACTAATGAGATAAGACATATAGAGTGCTTGGCACAATGCCTGGCACATGGTAAAAACTCAACAAATATTAACTTGTCCTAATTTGAAGTGTCACTTGAAGCACACCACTCTTAGCCTTGCCTTTTCCTCACTCCATGGCCCATGACTGGGGCACATGTATTCATTCATACAACAGATGTTTCCTGAGGACCTCCCCTGGGCCAGGCACTGCACTATGGGCTGAGGTTTAACTGAGACTGGCTGGAGCTTATCCTCAGAGCGATGGAGGAGGACATAGACAAGAAAACAATGAGTGAACCAGACCGTAGTGATAGGGCCTTGGCGCTAGCAAAACAGGATGATGTAATAGAGTGTGCCTAGAGGAGGGGTATGTGTGAAGAGGTGACATCTGAGAGCTTAATGTGGAGAAATCCCTGCATGCAAATATCTGGGAGGAGCATAACAGGTAGAGAAAGGAGCAAGGATGAAGGCCTGAGGGCAGAGGAGCTGATGTGTTTGAGGAATAGAAAGAATGCCAGAGGTATTGCAATGTCTAAAACCAACAAGGGAAAATATAAAACCAGGCTGGGCAAGGTGGCTCATGCCTGTAGAGTGCTTGGCACAATGCCTGGCACATGGAGGCCAAGGTGGGAGGTTCACTTGAGACCAGCCTGGACAATAAAGTGAGACCCTGTGTCAAAAGAAAAAAAAAAAAGAGACAGAAAGAAAACAAAAAGAAAAGAAAAAAAAATCAATGAGGGGTTTATATGTAGAATATATCAGCAAATATTCAAATCAAGAAGAAAAAGGCAATACATTCAAAAGAAAATGGGCAAAGGACATAAACAGACAATTGATAAGAGGAAATCCAAAATTTGAACAACCAGATAAACAGATGCTCTAACTCATTAGTAATCAGAGAAATGAAAATTAAAACAATAGCTATCGCTACCTGAAATGTTCTTCAACAAAATCCTCTTCATGGTTAATCATTCCAATCATCCAATCTAAAGGCTTTTCCCCATCACTTTCTAATTCATTACCCTATTTTATTGTCTTCAGGGCATTTAACACCTGATATTATATTAATAGTCTACTTGTTTGTTAGTTCCATAGAGCAGACACCTTATCTGTCATTCTCTCTCTCTCTCTCTCTGTCTCTTTCTTTCTTTCCTTTCTTTCTTCCTTCTCTTCTCTTCTCTTCTCTTCTCTTCTCTTCTCTTCTCTTCTCTTCTCTTCTCTTTCTGTTTTTTTTGAGGCGGAGTCTCGCTCTGTAACCCAGGCTGGAGTGAAGTGGCCGGATCTCGGCTCACTGCAAGCTCCGCCTCCCGGTTTCATGCCATTCTCCTGCCTCACCCTCCTGAGTAGCTGGGACTACAGGCGCCCGCCACCTCGCCCGGCTAGTTTTTTGTATTTTTTAGTGGAGACGGGGTTTCACCGTGTTAGCCAGGATGGTCTTGATCTCCTGACCTCGTGATCCGCCTGTCTCGGCCTCCCAAAGTGCTGGGATTACAGGCTTGAGCCACCGCGCCTGGCCCATTTTCTTTCTTAAAATGATCTAAATGGAGAAAATTACCCTTTCCTAGAGTTTCTTCACCTAAATCATTTTATTTTATTTCAAAGGTCATTTCCACTCTCCTTTGTCCCTGACCACGCTCCACACACATACCTTGAATAAAATGTTCACTGGCAGAAAACAAACAGAAAACCAGCTACCACTTTACACCTGTTAGATGGGCAAACTCAGAAGCTGAACAATACAGGTAACCTTTCCCAAAGAGATTATCATATAGATAGACAAGAGCACTTAGACAAGGATGTTCACTGCAGTGTCATTTGTAGTGTGAGGAAGTTGGAGGCAATCAGTAGCAAGCCTGGGGAGAGTCAGGTAACATGGGCAGGTGCCCACTCTGTAGGATTTGGGGGGAGGTCCAAGTGACTGAGCGGGTGATAACACAGCAACATGAACCAGGACAACATAGCCTGGGCAACGTAGCAAACCCCTATCTCTACGAAATCAAAAAATTAGCCAGCTATGGTGGCAGAGGCCTGTAGTCCCAGCTACCTGAGAGGCTGAGGCAGGATGATAGTTTGAGCCCAGTAGGTTGAGGCTACAGTGAGTCATGATTGGGCCACTGCACTCCAGCCTGGGCATCAGAGCGAGACTCTGTCTCAACAAACCAACCAAACGAACAAAAAAACCCAAAAGAAAACCCCCAACAAAACCCAATACTGAGTGGGAAAAAGTAAGAAATAGAATGTGCTATATGACAGCACCATTTATATACATTAAAAATACATGTACACAAAACCAAGAATAAAGATTTAAAGATTTTAGCAGAACACAGATAGAAAGATACACATTAGATATACTGAATGGTTCCCTATGGAGTAAGGGCAAGAGAATAGTGGGGGCACTAGTCAGGAGGAGAAGGAGAGATTGCATTTCAGGCACAGGTATACGCAAAGAGTTGGAGGTGTTGGAGAGCCAGTGCACTTGTGGAGCTGCCCACACTTTCATGGCTGAGGCAGAAAATTCAAGGGGAGAGTGAAAAGAGATTGGACCTGGGGGCCTTTTGGGGCACCTCAAGGCATTTGTACTCTATTTTGATGTCAAAGAGAAGCCACTGCAGGGAGGAGAGTGGCCTGGCCATGTTTGGGTTTTAGAAAATTCAGTCTGGCTATGGTGGAGAGGACAGATCCAATAGAGAGAACTTGGAGGCCTGCTGAGCAGGTGGGAGAGTTGCCACATCCTGGTAGAGCTTCAGGCTTCCTGCCTTACTGACCTCCACAAATGATGTCCTCCACAGATGGCTGGGCACAGTGGCTCATGCCTGTAATCCCAGCACTTTGGGAGGCCGAGGCAGGAGGATCACTTGAGGTCAGGAGTTTGAGACCAGCTTTGCCAACATGGTGAAACCCCATCTCTACTAAAATTACAAAAATTAGCCAGGTGTAGTGGTGTGCGCTTGTAATCCCAGCTACTCAGGAGGCTGAGGCAGGAGAATCACTTGACCCCGGGAGGCAGAGGTTGCAGTGAGCTGAGGCTGCACCAGTGCTCTACAGCCTGGGTGACATAGTGAGACTCCATCTAAAAAAAAAAAAAAAAAGGTGATGTCCTCCACAGGTGACATTACTGCCAAAGAGATAGAGGCCCAGACAGCAACAGAGTCCTTGCCCAGAGGGTACCACAGTGACCATAGTGCATGTGATTTTGTGTCCACTGCAGAACCTAGCTGAGTCTGGAACATGCCATAAGGCCAGCACAGATTTGCTGAGTTGACCCCACAGCTTCTCGGCAGCCTATCTTCAAAGAAACAGATGGGTCCTAATCATTCATAGAGGCTGCTGGAACTACAGTTATTTCTTCCTCTTGTATTTTTTTTTTTTTTTTTTTTTTCAATTTGAGATGGGGTCTCACTTTGTCACCCGGACTGGAGTGCAGTGGCATGATCACAGCTCACTGCAGCCTTGGCCATCTAGGTTCAATTGATCCTCCCAACTCAGTTACCTGAGTAGCTGGGACTACAGACATGTACCACCATGTCTGGCTGATTTTTATTTTGTTTTGTTTTATTTTACTTTGTAGGATTGTTTTACTTTGACAGGATCCCATTATGTTGCCCAGGCTGGTCTCAAACTCCCAGGATTGCTGGGCTCAAGCAATCCTCCCACTTTGGCCTCCCAAAGCGCTGGGAATACAGGCGTGAGCCACCTCGCCTGGCCCAATTATTTTTACCAGTGAGAAAACCAAAACTCAGAGAGGTTACATGACATGCCCAGAGTCACACAGCTTCTGAGAGGCACAGCTGAGATTTGAAACCAGATCTGCCTGTCTCCAGAGTTCAAGATCCTTCACTTTTACTTTGCATTTCCACACATCTGACTACATAAATACCTAGAATATAAGAGCCAGAATGTGCTTAAGAAATATATAATGTGGCCAGGCATGGTGGCTCACGCCTGTAATCCCAACACTTTGGGAGGCCGAGTTGGGCGGATCACTTGAGGTCAGGAGTTCGAGACCAGCCTGGCCAACATGGTGAAACTCTATCTCTATTAAAAATACAAAAACTAACTGGGCGTGGTAGCAGGCGCCTGTAATCCCAGCTACTCGGGAGGCTGAGGCATGAGAATCACTTGAGCCTGGGAGGCAGAGGTTGTAGTGAGCCAAGATCGTGCCACTGCAATCCAGCCTGGGTGACAGAGGGAGACTCCATCTCAAAAAATAAAAAACAGGCCGGGTGCGGTGGCTCACGCCTGTAATCCCAGCACTTTGGGAGGCCGAGGGGGGCGGATCACGAGGTCAGGAGATCGAGACCATCCCATCCCGGCTCACACAGTGAAACCGCCTCTCTACTAAAAATACTAAAACTAGCTGGGCGAGGTGGCAGGCGCCTGTAGTCCCAGCTACTCGGGAGGCTGAGGCAGGAGAATGGCGTGAACCCGGGAGGCGGAGCTTGCAGTGAGCCGAGATCGCACCACTGCACTCCAGCCTGGGCGACAGAGCGAGACTCCGTCTCAAAAAAAAATAAATAAATAAAATTAAAAAAATAAATAAATAAAAAACAAAATAAGAAAATTATTTAATCTGGCTGAATGCAGTGGCTCATGTCTGTAATTTCAGTACTTTGGGAGCCCAAGGCAGTAGGATTGCTTGAGTCCCGGAGTTTGAGACCAGCCTGGGCAACATAGCAAGACCCAGTTTCTACAAAAAACAAAAAACAAAAAAGATGAGAAAGAAATTGTCTAATCCAACACCCTTATTTTCTTTTCTTTCTTTCTTTTCTTTTTTCTTTCTTTTCTTTTTTTTTTTTTTTTGACAGGATCTCACTCTGTCACCTAGGCTGGAGTGCAGTGGCGTGATCTCAGCTCGCTGCAACCTCCACCTCCTGGGTTCAACTGATTCTCATGTCTCAGCCTCCCAAGTAGCTGGGATTACGGGAATGTACCACCACGCCTGGCTCATTTTTTTTTTTTTTTTTTTTTTTTTTTTTTGTATTTTTAGTAGAGACAGAGTTTTACCATGTTGGCCAGGCAACCTCGAACTCCTGACCTCAAACGATTCGCCCGCCTTGGCCTCTCAAAGTGCTGAGATTATAGGCGTGAGCCACCGCGCCCAGCCAGCCAACACCCTCATATTCAGAGGACTTACCTAAGGCCCAGTGAAGGGAAGGACTTGCTCAGGAACATATCAATTCAGAGCCAGGACTTTATTTTGAGTCTCCTGATGCCCCAGCCCTCACCTTTCCCTATGAACCTGGCACCTTTACAGAGTGGAACTGTGCTGCACTCTTGTGATAACTACTCACCCAGCTCCCAGTTCTTCTGTGGTCTGAGAGGCTGTGGGTCTGGTGAAATGGGCACATATTTTAGAATTACACAGGTCTGGATTCAAATTCCAGCTCCAAAGGAGGGAAAGATTGTATATATATATTGCAAACATGTCTATATAATATACATGCAAATGCCTGTGTATGCAAAGACTCTCTCTGGAAGGATATACAAGAAACTTCTTACAGTGATTTATCTCCAGAGAGGGGGTCTGGTTGAGAAGAACTTTTTTTTTAACTATTTTAATTTAATTTTTAAAAATTGAGACAGGGCTCTCACTATGTTGCCCAGGCTGGTCTCGATCAAACTCCCGGGCTCAAGCAATCCTCCTGCCTCAGCCTCCTAAAGTTCTGAGATTACAGGCATGAGCCACCATGCCTGGCCAAGAAGAAATTTTAACTGTATACCTTTTTTGTGCTTTTCCACTTTTTTGAATTTATATGCAATGGCTTTCATGATTTTTTTTTTTTTTTTTTTTTTTTTTTTTAGATGGAGTCTCGCTCTTGCCCAGGCTGGAGTGCAGTAGCATGATCTCGGCTCACTGCAATCTCCACCTCCCTGGTTCAAACAATTCCCCTGCCTCAACCTCCTGAGTAGCTAGGATTACAGGTGCACGTCATCACACCTGGCTAATTTTTTTTGTATTTTTAGTAGAGATGGGGTTTCACCATGTTGGCCAGACTGGTCTCAAACTCCTGACCTCGGGCAATCCACCCACCTGGGCCTCCCAAAGTGCTGGGATTACAGGCATGAGACACTGCTCCCGGCAGCCTTTCTGTGATTTTAAAAACCTGTCTCCTCCATGTATTCATTGCATATTCCTGGGAAAGCCATTTAACTACTCTGAGGATAGCTTCATTAAGATCCCCTGAAGGGGGTGGACTGTGAATATAGAGGGCTAGCAGTCATATGGGGCCCTCACTGGGTGTTGTGGGGCCAGATTTGAAGAACCATATTCTGTTGGACTTCTGGTAGTTGGAAGTCAGGAAAACTGTGACCTAGGCTCCTTGACAATGGGTGCAATAGCATCCTGAGAAGAAAGCAAGAGGGAAGTGGCAAAAAGGGGTAGGCGCACTGATGGAAGAGTTTTTTTTTTTTTTTGACAAGTTCTGGCTCTATCGCTGAGGCTGGAATGCAGTGGCATGATCTCAGCTCATTGTGACCTCTGCCTCCTGGGCTCAAGCCATCCTTCCGCCTCAGCCTCCTGAGTAGCTGGGACTACAAGTGCATGCCATCACACCCGGCTAATTTGTATATTTTTTGTAGAGATGGGTTTTTGCCATGTTGCCCAGGCTGATCTTGAACTCCTGGTCTCAAGTGATCCACCCACCCAAAGGCATGAGCCACCATGCTTGCCCAGAAGAGCCTTCTTTGAGATGAGGAAGTGGGGGCTTGGTTGGTGAAGGAGAAAAAAGTTTCATAAACGAATTCTCAGTGTGTCACTTCCCTTCTCTTCCTTCCAGCCCCATTCTCATGCAGCCTACAGGGGGTGCAGGGATACTGCCTTTCTTTTTTCTTTTGAGATGGAGTCTCACTCTGTTGCCAAGGCTGGAGGGCAGTGGCGCAATCTCAGCTCACTGCAGCCTCTGCCCCCCGAGTTCCAGCAATTCTCCTGCCTCAGCCTTCAGAGTAGCTGGGGTTACAGGCACACACCACGCACCACCATGCCTGGCTAATTTTTGTGTTTCACCTGACCTCAGGTGATCTGCCTGCCTTGGCCTCCCAAAGTGCTAGGATTATAGGTGTGAGCCACTGCACCACTGCACCTGGTTGGGACAGTGCCTTTTTTTTTTTTTTTTTTTTGAGACGGAGTCTTGCTCTGTCACCCATTGCTCTGTCACCCAGGGTGGGATGGAGTGCAATGGCATGATCTCGGCTCCCTGCAACCTCCACCTCCCGGGTTCAAGCGATTCTTCTGCCTCAGTCTCCCCAGTAGTTGGGATTACAGATGCCCGCCACCATGCCCAGCTAATTTTTGTATTTTTTAGTAGAGACGGGGTTTCACCATGTTGGTCAGGCTGGTCTCGAACTCCTGACCTTAGGTGATCCACCCGTCTGGGCCTCCCAAAGTGCTGGGATTACAGGCGTGAGCCAAGGCGCCTGGCGGGGACCCTGCTTTTCTTTGGAGGCACTGTGATAGCAACCAGCCACGTTGTGCTCTGTCCTTGGTCCTGAAGATACCAGCGTGATGTTTCTTGGTACCAGGGACACTGGTTAGTGACTCTTCTCTCAGTAACTCTGAACCAGGTGAGAATTGTCATTTTTAACCTTGAAATATAGCAGTACTGTTTGCATCTTGCAGCCCTCCTCTCCTCGGGGTGCTGGCTGTACTCACTCTCCAGGGATTGTAGTTATAGCTACCTGACTCCACATCGCAAGCCCGCAGGGCACACCTACCAGTCTCGACCCCACTACACCCAGTAAGCACACACATATTTTATTTGCTATCCCCTCCAAATTCATGGCCTATCCCCATCATGGCATCGGATGTCAGATGGGAGGTTAATGGCTTGCCAAATAAGCAGAACCCTATCTTGGTTTCCCAACCTAAATTGCTTAATTCATGCATTTTTGACAGTTGTGTCATTTCCAGCAATCACAAGGTAATTTTTTTCTTTTTGAAAATGGCAAGGAAAACACCCTCAACCCACTCCCTTCACACTTGTGAGAGCTGCATGAGCTGAAAGTGACTCTTCCAAAAACTCTTCTAAGCTTGAGAAGCTCGAGACTTCAGCATGAGACTGGAGTGTGAATGCTTGGTCTGCTCTGGCATCAGAAGGGAGGGAAAGTGAGTCCTTGGAGGTCTTCATACTCCAGGAGAGATCCCAAGAGACATGCAAGAGTGGCAACAAGGCCTCTGTTTGACCCTCTTGCAGCGTCTTGGTGCTAAGTGGGGTGGAGGGAGAGAACACACACTCCGCCTGGTCCCTGCCAGGCTCCACACCCCGGTGTCCTCTTCCCCCACCCGTGCCTCCCAGCAGAAAACTGTTTCCCATCAGGAGCCGCAGAATGAGATCATATCTGGCCTGTTACAAGAACCAGAATGACTGATGGAGCAGAAGTTGGATTGGGGCGGCAAGAAGGGAGTAAGCAGCCTCAGGCCAGCACGCATTGCAGCCTGGGGAGGAGAGAAAGGAGAGTTCTCCCTCCCTCTTTTCTGAGCATTGTGTTTCCCTTCTTCTCCCATTGGGAGGGGGATGGGATGACGGGGAAAGAAGGTGTCCTAGAAGGGAACCCAAGCCGGTGGGCAGGAGAGCTGTGGGCTTGGGGGGCGGGGGAGAGGAAGAATTGGCAATAGGATGCCATCTCCATCCATAGAGCCAGGGACGGACTCCTGTCCTCTAACTCCATTCCTCACTCCACTAGCCCTGGGAGCAAATCTTAGTTCACTGTGACCCACTGGGCAAGTCACTAAACTTTCCTAAGCCTCAGTTTCCTTATCTGTGAAACGGACATGCTGATCCTAACAGAGATGTAGTGCAGGCAGGCAGACAGGTGAGGGAGGCAAAGGCACGGCGCGAGGCACACGGGAACCCAGGCGCTTGACCGTCCACACCACGCGGCGCTCTCCCAACCCCGGCCCGGCGCGCTCACCGGTTCTCAGCCACCAGGATCTGCTCCAGCAGGCGCGCGGCCTGCACACGCGTCTCCAGCTCCGGCGCCTGCAGCAGCCGCAACAGCAGGTCGAGGCCGCCGTCCAGGCGGATGGCGTCGCACAGACCCTGGGCTACCTCGCGGCCCACGGCCGGCAGCAGCCAGGCCTCCTCCACCAGTTGGAAGACCTCGGCCAGGCCGGCGCCCACGGCCCGCGCGCCGCCCGCCTGCTTCAGCGCGGACAAGGCCTGCTGCAGCTCCGGCAGCGCGCGCTCCAGGGCGTCCTGCACCTCGGAGCCTGCCCCCGGCGATACTTCGCGGGGCCCGCGGCCGCCCGCAGCCCACCATGGGCCCGTGCCACCGCCCCCATCCGGCCCCGGCACCGCCAGCCGCTCGGCGCCTGGCCGTGGGCCCGACATGGCGAAGAAACGACACAGCTTGTAGGCGGAGAGGAGCAGCGTCAGGACCATGGGCGCGGGGCCGCGGGGGACATCCCCGGCCTGGAGGCGGGGGCCGCGCGGAGAGATCCCGGTTTTGGGAAAAGAGGGACCCGAGAGGGGTCGGGGGAAGAAGATGGAGGGAGAGGAATAGAGAGAAGGGTACCAGGCAAGGGTGCCGGTCAGAAGTTTGAGGGAGGAGTGAGGGCAGGATCGGGGGCGCAGCGGTTGGCAAAGGTGATGCAGGCCAAGATGCAGGGAGTGGGCGAAAGGAGAGAGAGAGGAGGCGAGGGATGGCTCCGGACGCCGGAGGGTAGAGGAGGCGGCGGCTGGAACAAAGCGTTGCCCGGGCAGGGGCTCGGCTGAGCTGGGAGATGCTCGGCAGCAGCCACGCCCTGGAACCGCAGCGGACCCGGGGCCGATGCCCCGCCTCTGGGTCCAGCGGGGCTCCTCCAGCCTCCTGCGCAGCCCCACCCCCAAGTCGTCCCCAGCCACGCCCACGCCCCTGGCCAGCCTTTCCCAGCCCCTCAGTCGCAGCCGCCTCCTCCTGCGCTGGACTTGGAGGAAGGGGGTCGAAAATGAGATGACAGTCTCCGTTCTCCACCTCCTCTTCCCCGCCCCGCGTGACACCAGTACGTGGGAGCAACACCGCTGCGTGCCCCCTCCCTACTAAGTGGTTAAAACAATCATCATAACTCTTAAGGCCCTTTTATGCCTGTTTCTCAGCTAGACCTCACAACATGCCTCTGGGGTGGGAATCGGTGTTCCATTCCACAGCTGACTCCACTGAAGCCCATGAGGAAGAGATTGGCCAAAATCACAGTCCCCTCTGATTACAGAACAGAAAAATCAGCTAAAATCTCAGGATCACTTTTTTTTTCAGGTGATGGCAGGACTTCAGAAGCTCTGTGGACACCTGAAATTGGGCACAAAATCAGGTGTTTCACGCCAGTGGGCATTTTCCAGGTAGAGGGATCGTATTTCTCTTGAGAGTCTAAAAGTGTGAACAAGCCCACTCTTTACAGATGGGAAGACTGAGGCTGGGGACAGGGAGTGACCTGCTCAGAAAAGACTCAGAAATCAAATCTAGTTCAGTGGGTTGATATTTACCCAAATTTCCAGCCTGGGGAGATTGATGCACCCAAGCGAAGAACCCAGAAATGAAACTGTGTTCTTTTATGCTAAAAAAGAAAATTCCCCAGAGTGCTTACAAACTCTCCTCCCACTCCCTTTTTCCTGCCCTAAATAAACAATGGCGAATGAGCACCCAGCCAGGGATGTGTCTGATCAAACAATCATGGATCAATAGCCATGTTTGGAGAAGGAATTTGTGACTGCTCCAGCTACTGGGCATTTTGTCTGTTCCAGTTCATGTAATCTCCCAACACCCCATGAGGCAAGGGGGTTAATCCCATTTTACTGAAACTGAACTAAGACTCAGAGAGATAAAGCTGTTGCCCAATGAGCCTTCTTTCTGGCCTCCAGATCCGCGGTGCTAATTCCCCTTCTGATGACCTAATGATTCTGAGCTTGGCAAAGGTCTTATCTCCCAGCTCTCCCAGGCCCAGTGTTCCAGGAATGTGACCTTTGCTGCAGCAGCCGCTGGAGGGGGCAGAGGGGATGGGCTGGAGGTTGAGCAAACAGAGCAGCAGAAAAGGCAGTTCCTCTTCTTCAGTCCCCTCCCTCCCTGTCTCTGCCTCTCCCTCCCTTCCTCAGGCATCAGGGAGGAGACTTCAGGGAGATCAGAGCCCAGCTTGCCAGGCACTGAGCTAGAAGTCCCGCCATGGCACCCCTGAGACCCCTTCTCATGCTGGCCCTGCTGGCATGGGTTGCTGTGGCTGACCAAGGTACAGGGGGGTGTTGGTGGCCATCTGAGTCAATGTAGGGAGGGCGAGGGTGGCCCGGGCTTGGCGGCACCTACTGACACCCCTTCCTCAAAGAGTCATGCAAGGGCCGCTGCACTGAGGGCTTCAATGCTGACAAGAAGTGCCAGTGTGATGAGCTCTGCTCTTACTACCAGAGCTGCTGCACAGACTATACGGCTGAGTGCAAGCCCCAAGGTGTGTTCAGAGCCCAGGTGGGTGGGCTGGGGTGCCCCTTGCAGCTGGAGACTCACTACCATCCACTCTCTGCAGTGACTCGTGGGGATGTGTTCACTATGCCGGAGGATGAGTATGTGACCTATGACTACGGTGAGGAGAAAAACAATGCCACCATCCATGAACAGCCGGAGGGCTCCTCCCCGAGCCCTGACCTCCAGGCCCAGCCCGAAGGGACTCCTGAGCAGGCAACTGTTCTGAACCCTGAGGAAGAATCCCCTGCACCTGAGGTGGGCATCTCTAAGCCTGAGGGGACGGACTCAAGGCCCGAGACCCTTCGTCCAGGGACCCCTGAGCTCCCAGCAGAGGAGGAGCTATGCAGTGGGAAACCCTTCGACGCCTTCACCGACCTCAAGAACGGTTCCCTCTTTGCCTTCCGAGGTGAATCCAGGGCAGGTATTGGGGATGGGGGTCTGCCCCAGGAGCGTCCCCGCTCTCACACCACCTCCTCCACTGTAGGGCAGTACTGCTATGAACTGGATGAAAAGGCAGTGAGGCCTGGGTACCCCAAGCTCATCCGAGATGTCTGGGGCATCGAGGGCCCCATTGATGCCGCCTTCACCCGCATCAACTGTCAGGGGAAGACCTACCTCTTCAAGGTGCCAGCAGCTGTGGACCAGGGTAGAAAGCATCTAGGGAGGGTTTGAGAGCTATTGCTCCCAGGGACAGGGTGGACAGGGAGGCTGGACCCAGGGCGCTGCAGGACCTGGTGGGCGCTCTGTGAGCACAGGGCAGCCCCAAGACTCCAGGTCCTGGGCAGTGAACCTGAACCTGGGAACGGCTGCCTTAGGGCAAGGGACTCTGCCTCTGTGCCTAGCCAGCAGCCTCCATACCCCTTTTCACTTTCCCCACCTCTTAGGGTAGTCAGTACTGGCGCTTTGAGGATGGTGTCCTGGACCCTGATTACCCCCGAAATATCTCTGATGGCTTCGATGGCATGCCAGACAATGTGGACGCAGCCTTGGCCCTCCCTGCCCATAGCTACAGTGGCAGGGAGCGGGTCTACTTCTTCAAGGGTACTCAGGGGGTGGGTGGGAGACTGAGCAGGCAGTGGAGCAGTCTTGGATTCCTTTCACACTTCACTGGGGACAGGCCTCAGCATGTGCCCACCCCATACCCCCACCTCATGCTGGGAGATCCTAACTTCAACAGCCTCTGGGATCTCCAGTCTGGCTCTGGCCCAGCCCTCCTAATGCCCACCACCCCGCTCCCCAGGGAAACAGTACTGGGAGTACCAGTTCCAGCACCAGCCCAGTCAGGAGGAGTGTGAAGGCAGCTCCCGGTCGGCTGTGTTTGAGCACTTTGCCGTGATGCAGCGGGACAGCTGGGAGGACATCTTCGAGCTTCTTTTCTGGGGCAGAACCTCTGGTATGGAGAGAGGGCAAGTCTTTCTTCTCCTTCAAAAGGGCTGAAACCCCCGGCTAGTGGTAGAGCCAGGTTGGCTGGAGGGGGCTGTGGTTGTGGAGCTATCGATCAAAGTCTATTTGCTCAGGCCAGACTTTGCTTCTGTTGACCTTTTGGGGGAAGCTCGGCTCTACCTGGACCCCACACCTTGGACTTTGCCTAGCACAGCCGAGGGCACAGCCAGCAGAGGGAGGGGCTATGGCTGAGGAGTTTAGGGGGCCTGGGGGGGGTGGGGTCTAGACACCAGTGATATGGTGGAGGGAGCACACAGTGAAGGGCATTGGACTGAGAATCAAAGGCCTGGCTCTGCCATTCGCTGCTGTGTGCCTTTGGGCAAGATGCAGCAGATGAACTCTAATGACCTTGCTGGAGGGGGCAAGATTCAGACCCCTAAGACCTCTCATTCACCCCTTCCCTGCCACAGCTGGTATGAGACAGCCCCAGCTCATTAGCCGGGACTGGCATGGTGTGCCAGGGCAAGTGGACGCAGCCATGGCTGGCCGCATCTACGTCTCAGGCATGGCACCCCACCCCTCCTTGGCCAAGAAGCAAAAGTTTAGGCGTCGCAACCGCAAAGGCTACCGTTCAGACCGAGGCCACAGCCGTGGCCGCAACCAGAACTCCCGCCGGCCATCCCGCCCCACGTGGCGGCTGTCCTTGTTCTCCAGTGAGGAGAGTAACTTGGGAGCCAACAACTATGATGACTACAGGATGGACTGGCTTGTGCCTGCCACCTGTGAACCCATCCAGAGTGTCTTCTTCTTCTCTGGAGGTAGGAGCCCTTGCCACCCCTGAAGCTGCTCTAGCTTGGGTTTTCCTTGCTGTCCCTGGTCCATAAGGGCTGAATACAGCCCGCAGGTAGTGACCACAGAAAGCCGGGCCAGAAGTCCTTAGCTGCATCGTGGATGTTCACTTTCCCTTCTGAGACTTTCTTAAGGGAAGAGTGGGCAGGGCCAGGCTGGGCCTCACGCACCCTCTGCTTTCCTCTCTTCCAGACAAGTACTACCGAGTCAACCTTCGCACACGGCGAGTGGACGCTGTGGACCCTCCCTACCCACGCTCCATCGCCCAGTACTGGCTGGGCTGCCCAGCTCCTGGCCATCTGTAGGAGGCAGAGCCCACAAGGCTGGGCCCGCTGTAGCTCCCTCCTCCAATCTCCTTCCCCCAGCCCAATAAAGGTCCCTGAGTTTAAGACTACTGTCCTGACTGGGGTGGATACATCCCTGCCTGGGTAAAGGAGAGGAAGCTGGGCTGTCAGAATGGGTTGGTGAAGGGGGCAGAGAAGGGCCTCGCTGTGTTCAACCCATGTTGGGCTCAGGAATTCTCTGTGAACCGAAGTTTGGGACTGGGGAAGGCCTCCTGAGAGCTACCCTTCCTCTTGAGCTAAGCAACCCCCAGCAACCCACCAGCAGCTAAGCAGGCACTTGAACCCCTCTGATGGTGACAGAGTTACCAGGCCAGCCTCCTTGGGTGAGGCTTGCTTTGCCCCTTGGAGTTGACTAGGGTCTTGGAGGAGAGAGAAGGGGCAAGAGGTGGTGAGGTTCTGGCTCAGCTTTTTTGTCCATCCTGATCTGAAATCATAGTAGCTCCGGCTCCTGAAGTCATTGTGCTTCCCCAAACCCACCCCTAGAGTGAGCCTTTCTTGAGGTCTCTGTCTAGGGTCTAGGATGGGGAGCAGCAAGACCAGGAGAGATAGTGAAGGGGAGAAACTGAAAGGAAATTCAAAAGCACACACTTCTCATGGAAAAGTGGCCCAGGAGTCCAGGAGTTTGAGGCTGCAGTGAGCTATTATTGTACCACTGCACTCCAACCTGGGCAATAGAGTGAGACTCTGTCTCTAAAAACAGAACAAAACAAAAAAAGGAGGGAATTTTTGGCTGGACATGGTGGCTCATGCCTGTAATTCGAGCACTTTGGGAAGCCAAGGTGGGAGGATTGCTGGAACCCAGAAGTTGGAGACCAGCCTAGGCAATATAACAAGACACCATCTCTACAAAAAATAAAGAAATAAGTTAGCTGGGCAACTTATGGGTGGTGTGTGCCTGTAGTCCCAGCTACTTAGGAGGCTGAGGTGGGAGGATTGCTTAAGCCTGGGAGGTTGAGGCTGTAGTGAGCAGAAATCACACCACTGTACTCCAGCCTGGGCAACAGAGTGAGAAAAACAAAATTTAGGCCAGGCACGGTGGCTCACGCCTGTAATCCCAGCACTTTGGAAAGCCAAGGTGGGTGGATCATGCGGTTAGGAGTTCAAGACCAGCCTGGCCAACATGGTGAAACCCTGTCTCTACTAAACATACAAAAAAATTAGCCGGGTGTGGTGGTGGGCACCTGTAATCCCAGCTACTCTGGAGGAAGAGGCAGGAGAATTGCTTGAACCCAGGAGGTGAAGGTTGCAGTGAGCCAAGATCGTGCCACTGCACTCCAGGCTGGGTGACAAAGCAAGACCCCATCTTGAAAAAAAAAAAAAAAAAGAAACAAACTTTTAAAAATTTAAGGAAAAGCGGTTCAGAATGTGTCCAAGGAAGAGAATACTATACACATAGTATTGTGTATAGTATTTATCATCTTTCTTAGAACCCCTCAACTGCACCTGTGGAACCTCCTCTGGTTCCAGGTTCCAAACCCCAGGAAGTCCATCTGGCTCTTGAAGGGCCAGAGAGATAAAGGGTTAGATGCAGGCAAAGTTCTAAAGCAGACCTGAGGGTAACCTGGTGACGACATCTGTTCCCCAGTCCCGCTGACAGCAGCTGGCTCCCATTCATCCTGTTGTCACCTTACCATCCTTCTCATCCTGTCCCACTTCACCAGCCCAGTCCCCAGTTGTAGGAGAGGTCTCCACCCCCTCTCCCCTGAAGGCAGCCAGGTTCGGAGCACTCAGGGCTCCAGAAGGGGCAGCCAGTGCCTGGGAGCACTGGAGAGATGGTTTTCTTTGGCTTCCTGGAAGGACCCCTGGGAGGATTTTCATGAAGTATAGGATTTCAGGTACAGACTGCCAGAGTTTGTGGTTTGAGGAGGGATGCTGGGTCCAGCTTCCTTTGTGAGGCCCTGGAGGGGCAGGGGGTACACAATTTACCCCACCCATACCCTCATAAGCCCAACCCAGCCTCCAGTCTTCCCCACCGAGACTTCTCTGCTTTGCTTGAGCTGGACTCTAAACCTCTCCCCTCCTGGAGGCGGGGCCAGCTACCCTGAGCAGGATAAAATCCAAATGGAGGGGTCTGGTATGGGCACAGCCCTGGCATGGCCCTCTGGCACCTTACCCTGTGCCAGCTCCATGGGCAGCCCTGTGGATGCATCCTCAGCAGGTGATCTGATGGGGAAATGTGGGCAGGGTGAGGACGCAGGGCACGGTGGCATGAGGGAAGGTTGAAGAGGGATGGGAGTAGGGACTTCAGGGTTGATTGAGGGCTTTAAGGCTGGGTAGAGGCTCTTTCAGCAAGTCCCGGCTTGACCCCCACCGTGGCCCGCAGACGGTGGCAGTGGGTTGGGTTCCCACCAGAGAAAGCGGACCACCTTCAGCAAAGGGCAGCTGCTGGAGCTGGAGAGGGCGTTTGCAGCATGGCCCTACCCCGACATCAGCACCCGTGAGCACCTGGCCCAGGTCACTCGCCTTCCTGAGGCCAAGATACAGGTGAGCTGCGACCCCTTCTCACACAGCCAACATCTGGGCTTGGCCCACAGCCCCTTCGCTGGGTAGCCTGCCTTCAGGTTGTTTCCCATGTCCCTGGGTGGAGGGGATGCTGGGGCCAGAAGACTCCTTCTTCTTCCCTAGCAGGTATGGTTCCAGAACCGCCGGGTCAAAAGAATCAAGAACAGGAAGTCAGGAAGTCTAAGCCCCCGGCCTGAGTCCCACCAGAGCTCCTGTTCTCTTCCAGACACCTTCCAGCAGCCCTGGGATCCCCAAATACCAGGCCAACCTCCACTCTCCAGCGGCACACCTCAGTGTACCTCAGTGTGTCAATACACCTCCTGTCCAGCTCCTGGCTTAAGTCCAGGGCAGGGCTGGGAAGGGGCTAAAGCTGTAGCCCCACGGGGACCAGGTGGGGCTTCAGAGGTCCACCCTTTCTTAGAGCGAGCTACTCCCCAGACTTCACTAGGCAGCCTGTCTGACCTCATCTATGCCTTGGCCATTGTCACCAATGTGGACCACGCCTAGTCTTGGTCCAGAACTTGCAAGACCCCTCCTCTGACTCCTGTAGCCCACCCTGCCCCTCCTGGGACTGAACACATCAGAAGTGGATCCCCCGGCCCCACCTTTTATGCAAAGGAGTTCCCTATCGGAAAGGAATTTAGCTCAGGCATCCCTCCCTTCCACTGGCCTCCAGGCCAGCCTAGATGCAGGTCCTATGCAGACTGGGGCCTAGCTCCTGCCACCCCACACCTGACCCCTTTGGGGCATAGGCTCATGGTTGTGGCAGGAGGTACCTTCAGAAGGATGAGATGAGGGCAATGTTTTCCTTCACTCTTGCCAGTCCTGGTCCCCAGTTCTCACCAGCTGATGACCTCCTCCCTCCGAAGGGGCAGGCTCCTGTCTCCTGAGGTCTCTCCAGGCCATTACCTTGCTAACTGCTAAGTGAGGTAGGAAAGGAGAATGCTGCTCCTCATCTAGACTGCTGGAGTCACCTTCTTTATGGCTCAGGGCCACCTCTCCTGACCGTCGACCACCTGGACAAATTATCAGAGCTATGGATGTGAAGAGGGAGTGGCATTAAAGTAATAAAGCAAAGACAGGAAGCTGGGGCTTATGTTGATTTAATTTTCACAAAGATCAGATTGGCTGCCCTCTGACGTGAGGCCGCAGAGACAACCTGACAGATCTGGAATGAGGCGGGTGCAGCAGCATTGGGTTTTGGTATCACCGTCATCTGTAATACCAACTAATCTCCAAATAAAACTCAAACTCTGTACCTTAATCTGGATTGTTGTGCTCTGCAAATGAACGGGGACGAGGGCCATTTGCCATGGAAATTTATCTCCATCACCTAATCCCTAAATAGGGCCAGATTCCACACAGATTCTTGGTGGGAGGTATTACCCAGGCTTCTGCTGGGATTAGAGGAATAGTTAATTGAAGGGTTTGGGGCTCTGACTGACAAGACCCTGGGGGAGATGAGAGCCTCTGCTGGCAGCCCCTGCTCCTGGTCCCACTGAGTCTAAGACATTCCAGTTACCTCCACCTCCGGAGCTGCTCTGCTTCGGAGAGAAAACCATGGTGTTTGTGGTCTGCAATGGATTCAAATCCTGACTCTGCTATGTAACCGTGGCAACTCTGGAACTCTATGTGACTAAAAAATGGGGATACTTGTTTGCTCTCTGTGTGAGGTATAAGAAATAATGTAGGTAAAGGGCTTTACATGGTGTGTGACACATTGTAAAAACTCAGTAAATGCTAGTTTCCTCTCCAGACAGGCCCTAAGAAACTGGGAAGGCCCCAAACTTTTTGTTCTTCCCACCTCCTGCCAAGCAGTCCCTGGACCCAGAGTGCATTAGAGAAAGCATGGCATAGTGAGGCAGGAGTGGCTAGGAGATGAGAGAGCTCCCTTCTACATGCTGAAACTGGAGGACAGGGCATTTGGTTCTCCCCTCCCCCTGCCCTCTGCTTTTTTACTGAGACAAGGTCTCACTCTGTCATCCAGGCTACAGTGCAATAGCATGATCTTGGATTACTCAGCTTACTGCAACCTCTGCCTCCCGGGCTCAAGGGATCCTCCCACCTTAGCCTCCTAAGTAGCTGGGACTACAGGCGTGTGCTACCATGTCAGCTAATGTTTGAATTTTTTTGTAGAGATGGGCTTTCGCCATGTTGCCCAGGCTGGTCTCGAACTCCTGAGCTCAAGCAATCCTCCTACCTTGGTCTCCCAAAGTGCTGGGATTACAGGCACGTACCACTACGCCTGGCTAATTTTTTTGTATTTTTAGTAAAGATGGGGTTTTGCTATGTTGGCCATGCTGGTCTTGAACTCCCAACCTCAAGTGATCCACCCGCCTCAGCCTCCCAAAATGCTAGGATTACAGGTGTTAGCCACCTCACCCGGCCCAGTGTAGCTTTTTAACACAAATTTTATACAGTTCAGGTTACTGGAAACACTGCAAAGTGCCACCTAGTTTGTCTTCTCACAGCTGACACTTCTTCCAACTAACAGAAACTGGCAAACATTGTAGAGGAAGTGTCCACTGAGCAAATGAGTATATAATTTATTAAAACAGAAAAGTGCTTTGGAAAAAAAAAAAAAGAGAGAACAGGAGTACATACAGTGAACCAAGAAGAGTGTACCATGAGGAGCAGACCCTGAACAGTTAGAACTATTAGAACTATGGAAATCACTGTGTTTTGTTGTCACAGGAGTTAAAATAGAAATACCCTGGATACAATAAATATTTACTGGATAAATAACTAAGCCTGATACCCTTTTCAGTGCGTTATACAGACCCTATCATCACACCACTAATCTAAGTTCTCAGAAGTTAAACCTTACAAGACTTCAGGACAACACAGGCGACTTCGGCTCCATTTAACAGAGGAAGGACCATAGCTGGTCATTTGATATCTACGAGTCTGTCTTATCTTCTGGAAAAGGGGCCTAATACCATTTCCTTTAGGAAAAAGGTAGCTGCCTTGCTTCCAGTTCTACCATCCTACAGCAACCCATCTTTCTCTTATTTGATGTCTCTGATCAGCTCCTCTTCCAGCACAAACTGGAGAAAGGGGATCCTTTCTGTTTTCTTGGAGGCTTCTGAACTCAATTACAGGTCTGCATTAAAAATGTCTGGAGAAAGCTGGTGATCAGTTTGTACATATGAACAAGTTCAAGGCAGTATGGTCTACTTCTGGGAAGGCCTGGATTCCATTTGCTCCTGAAGGAAAAACCCTAGTCCCAGCAGTGTCTAGAATGGACTGGAGAAGGCAGATGGGTACCGGATTCAGGAAGAGGTACTGACAGACCAAGACCAGTTCTTTCCATTTTAAAGATGGGTTATCTCAATCTCCTCCAATGCTCCCTTTGGAAATTCACAGAACATAGGGCTCCCCACAGAAACAGCAGCTGGCCTGGGCTGGTCTTCTGACTAACTGGAGCTGAATACAAAAAGTCTGATGGGTTGACTGAGTCAGTGACTGGCAATTGGACCCTGAAGCCCCCAAAGTCTTCTCTAGACTTGAAGATGAAGCACCAGTTACAGTTCTCCCAGCTCGCCTTCCATTGCCCGCACCATGACATACAGCTCAGCCAGACCCACCACTGAGGCGACGATCAATGCAGCTAGCACCCGCTGGAGATGGGGAGAACCAGGCTTAAGGGATGCAGGCCAACACCCAGCTCTGTACCCAAGCAACCTGAATGAGGATGGAGAGCCCCCAATCCCCTTCTAAGTTGAGGGAGGGGAAGAAAAGAGAATGTGGCTTCTCCTGGGTTTATTACCTAATCCCCTGTGACTGCTGGAAAGCTCTAATGCTCCCCTTGTTCATGGCATAAATATCTGTTCAATTCCTAACCTGTGCAAGGCACTTTCACATACGTCCTCCCTTACCCTCTAACACCCCTACCTGGGGCACCCTGCCCTGCCAAGTGCCTACTCACCGAGGCCATTTCTGTGAAGATATATTGGCTTCCAAGGTAAGTGCAGACGAAGGCAGCTACCACCGTGACAATGAAATTGAAGATGGTGATGACTAGAGCCTTCAATGATCTCACTTTGGGGAAGAGCCAGAGAGGGAACCTTTAGTTCAACATTCTCTAGGAGGCGCTCTTATCTCATGGCTGCCTCCCCCACCAACTGGGTTCCAGTCAAACAAGCCTGAGTGTCATGACCCATCTCAGGAAGAGGCTTTAGAAGCCTGATCTCCTAGTACCTCACCTTGCTTTCCCAGGTCGCTCAGAGTCCCACCATGCCTTGAATCCTGGGAAAAAGACAAAGCAGATGATTCAGAATAGAAGCAGCTCAGAGAGCATCCATTGTCAGTCTGGGCTCAGCCCTCTCTATTCCCCAACACATTAACTGCCTTCTCCAGGGATTTTTTTGTCTGGAACCACTTTGACTCTTTTCTGGACCACAGAGCAAGCATTTTAGAGAGAGGACACAGGCTGCCAGTACCCATCCACTCTTCTGTTTCAGGGTAGGAGCGTGCCATAGAATAGTAGGGAGCCCTGTCAGAAGACAGGCTCCAATGGCTGGGCACAGTGGCTCACCTTGTAATCCCAGCACTTTGGGAGGCCGAGGCAGGAGGATCACCTGAGTTTGGGAGTTCAAGACCAGCCTGGCCAACGTGGTCTCTACTAAAAGAGACCTCACTTAAACCTCGGAGGTGGAGGCTGCAGTGAGCAGAGATCCTGCCACTGCCCTCCAGCCTGGGGGACAGAGCAAGACTCCATCTCAAAAAAAAAAAAAGAAAGAAAAAGAAAAAAAGCCTCCAAGACTCATTCTCCCCCCCCCTTTTATTTTGAGACGGAGTCTTGCTCTTGTTGCTCAGGCTGGAGTGCAATGGTGCAGTGTTGGCTCACCGCAACCTCCGCCTCTTGGGTTCAAGTGATTCTCTTGCCTCAGCCTCCCAAGTAGCTGGGATTACAGGTGCTCGCCACCACGCCAGGCTAATTTTTGTATTTTTAGTAAAGTCGGGGTTTCACCATGTTGGCCAGGCTGGTCGCAAATCCCGACCTCAAGTGATCCAAGCACCTCAGCCTCCCAAAGTGCTAGGATTACAGGCGTGAGCCACCGCACCCAGCTAACTCACTCCCACTTCTACGATGTTTAAAAATTGGTCACCATCTCAGCCCAGAGTCTCAGTGAATGAGATGGGAATTGCGTTAAGTTTGTATGCAGAGTTCCTATGGTCCCTGAACAGTATAGAAACCAAGTGTCCATGTTTCTTCTAAACTCCATACCTTCTTGCAGTGCAGGGCCCTACTCTGAGGGGCTACCTAGTCCATGTACTGAAGAGCAGGCCCTTACCTGACAAGTGACGTTGCGGGTGATCCGCTTATATTCCTCATTGGCCAGCTGTATCTTAATCTTCTCCAGCCGGGCAACTAGTTCTGGGTTCTGAAGCAGAAAAATCAAATAAGAAGAATGATATTCCCAGCTTGTTAGAAAGCACATCACCATCACTGGTTCCAGGGGAAAAGCACTGCTAAAGGTATCAGGAGACCCACATACTAGTTAGTTCTAACTCCAATGTTTTGAAACTTTTTGTTTTTTTTAATCTCAATTTTCCAAACAGTTGATAGGGAGGACAATATCTGGTTCCCCCAGATCCCAAAGATTTCAAAAACAAATTTTCAAGCCTAAAAGTTGATTTATAAGTTCAGTGTATCATGGATAAGCCCAACTCAGTCAATAACCACTCCCACAAACGTATCCCTTACGTACCCGTGGAGGCTTCACAACCTCTGGGAGATAGATTTCACTGCCTTCTAGGAGCTCATGGAGGTATAGTTTGGAATCTGAGAAGAAAAGGTTTCACAAACGCAATGATCCACAGAGCTAAGATTGAAGGGTTAAGATCAAGAGGGGTCTAGCCCTTCTTTCTACCAAAATAAAACAGGGCCATCTCTACATTAATCCATTTCCAGGATCATTTTCAATTGAAAAGAATTTTGGATAATTCCATATGGGTATCTCCCAGTGCTGCACAGCTGACTTTAGCTGTCAGCTCTCAATTATCCTGCCAGTGTTACAACTAACATGTAAGCCATTTATTTGTGCCTTTGGGTTAGATCATTTCTGTGGCCACAATAGCTCTTCCCTAAATAGGTTTAGCTCATAGTGATGCTAAATGCTCAGAGGACACTAATACTAGGCAATCTCTTTCTAAGGTCCTTTCTAGTTCTAATAATTGAGCAGTTTACCCTTTGCACTTCTGGCTAGTCTATGCTACTTCTGGCAAAATAACTTATGTGCTAGTTTGCCCTATTCCTTCCCTTTACATATAAGGGAACTGAGGCCCAGCGAGGAGAAATGACTCCTTCAGAGGATTAGTGATAGAGCTAGGACCGGAACTCGCATGCTACTCCCAGGCCAGATCTTTCAACACAGCTTCTGTCATCCTATATCAAAAACAAAACAAAACAAAGTATCAGATTTCACCACCCTTGCTTCTGAGGTGGAAAGAAATCCGGATTCCTAAAGTGTAGAAGTGTAAGCTGATTCCTAAAGTGTAGAAAAACGAAGAGACAGAACCTGTGATACTTGTATTTAGTAAAAACCTAGACTTTCTCAAGGGTGAATTGGGCCTACGTGTTCCTGGAAGTGAAGAGGGGGCTCTCAAAAGAGCAAAAAACTGCACAAGCAAATTTGTCATCCACGAGAAATTCCCATGGGAGTTAAGAAAGTGGGTGGCCCTGGGATTTATGGGGTGACTCTTCGCTTGTCTAGATGAGTGCTCCGTAGAAGAAAGGGAATGATGTGAAAAGATCTCAGGAGGGAATCGATCTGGAAACAAGGAGGCGACCCCGGACTGGAGACTGGGGCTCACCTCTTTCTCTTAGGTGATGGTGCAGATCCCGGATGAGACGGAAAGAAACCAAGCGTTGGGGGCCACTGGAGCTATCACCGCCCGTGTGCTTCTTTCCCAGCGCGGCCTCAAGCTCGGCTCGCAGCTTTCGGGGTAGCTGCTCTGGCTCCAGCTCCCCGCCGGGGCCCAAAGCACGCACCAATCGCTCGCCCGCAAGCAAAGAGGACGCCATATCTAGCCGACACTCCGGTCAGGTGACCCCAACCCAGACTTCCGCCCGCCGCGCGCCGGAAGTAGCTCTGAGCTCCGGGGTGGGACCAGGCGGGCCAAGAGGGCCGGGACGCCGCGCGGGGCAGTGTGGGACGGGGGCGGAACGCCGCCCGGCCGCCGGTCAGGCTCTGTGTCAGCAGCCGGGCGGGCGCTCGGGCGGGACATGGCAACCTGTGTAGCCCGGCGGGCCCTGGCCGTGGGAAGCCGCTGGTGGTCCCGGTCGCTGACTGGGGCCCGGTGGCCGAGGCCGCTCTGTGCGGCGGCTGGAGCTGGGGCCTTCTCGCCAGCGGCGACCACGACGACGCGGAGGCACCTCTCGTCCCGGTGAGGGACGGAGCCAGGGGGCGCGAGGACTGGGCCTGGAGCCCAGGGAGCGTGTTCCTGGCCAGTGCGGAGGCCAGGGGCCCGGGCCTGCTGAGGGTGACTGGAGTTTGACCCGGGAGAGGGTCCCGAGCAGGGAGCCGACCTGCGCTGTCTGGGACTTGTGCCAGGAGTAGGGAAGCCAGCGCGGCCCAGAGCCCTGGTTGTACAGGGCTGGACCTGAGGGGGAACAGTTTACCCTCCCCGAGTGAATGCTACTTCCCCGGCTGGGGTCCCCAGCACCGCTGTCAGAGGGCACCTTTTTAATTCAGCCCTAGGGCTTTGGCTTGAACCCTCAGCCTTTGGATTCGGATAAAGTCTCCCTCAGAAAGATGCTAGAGGTGGGAAACGAGACTCTTGGGTGTGGACCCTCGTAGGCCCCAGGTTTCCAAGTGACTCTGGGGAGATCGATTTTCTATATGTGACTCGGGGAAGGGGGTTTGAGGCCAAGGGGGTGGTGTGGAAACTCTCCGCGGATGGGATCGGCGGATCAAACGGGCTGGTGGATCAGTGGGAGGAAGCATCAAGTTCACATCTTCGAAACAGTAAAAACAGCCATTATTTGAAGGGCCCTTAGAAAGTGCAGCCCTGTTCAGAGTGGTGACTGACGGTGCTGACCTTTTAGTAGCTGATATTAGACACTGACACTGGGGAGAAATGATAGCTATTTGCAATTTAAGACCCCTGTGAGAGTATGAACAAAAACGATATTGAGAGACGCTAGATGCAGTAGGAAATCTAGAGATGTTTAAGCTTTTCAAGGGCAATATAAGGGCTACAGGTTAGAGGGGGAGATGGACATGGAATTACAATACAGGACAAATATTTTTTGAGCACCTCTTCTACACTAGGCTCTGAGGGGGCAGTACCAGCTAATCAGACTCAGGCATTGCTCCCAGGGAATTTACAGTATTTAATAAAGATAAGACATGAACACAACTGAAATGTAAAGTGGGCAGGATATTGCTTGATGACTTGTGATTTAGAAAATGTAAGAAAAGAAGAAAAAAAGATATACCCCTTCTTAAAAAATTGAAAAAGTGAGCAAGACAGTTAAAGTGCTGTGGGAGGTCAGGAGCGTGGGTTAGGGAAGAAACAAGGGCAGGGGTACGTTTGAGCAGAGTGTGAGGGCATGATGTGACGAATGCCCCGTGAAGAGAGAAGACAGTAATATGGGAGCGGTCACATCTAACACTGGGAGACTGGGGAGGTTTTCACCAAGGAGGAGTAAAGCCTTTCCTGCTCCAGCTGGCCCCACCACCCCAAACCCTTCTCTGCTGTCATCACCGTGGCCCCTCAGTATCCTAGGAGCTTTTTCTGGTGGATGAGTACCATTACCTTCTCAGCTTTGTTCTTCTCAACTTGTTCTTTTCCTTCCTACTCAGAAATCGACCAGAGGGCAAAGTGTTGGAGACAGTTGGTGTGTTTGAGGTGCCAAAACAGAATGGAAAATATGAGACCGGGCAGGTGAGTATTGGGCTGGGTCATCTTTCATTTTCATAGAGTGCTCTGCTTCTGAAAGAAGTCAGATTAGGTCACAGGCCTGCATGGTATGGTTTTCCATTCATTCCTCCTTGATGTTTGGTGCCAGACCAGAATCAAATTTTTATTTATTTTTTATTTTATTTTTTATTTTTTTTTTTTGTGAGACAGAGTTTCGGTCTTGTTGCCCAGGCTGAAGTGCAATGGCGTGGTCTCAGCTTACCGCAACCCTCACCTCCCAGGTTCAAATGATTCTCCTGCCTCAGCCTCCCAAGTAGCTGGGATTACAGGCATGCGCCACCACGCCCGGCTAATGTTGTATTTTTAGTGGAGATGGGTTTACTCTATGTTGGTCAGGCTGGTCTCGAGCTCCCGACCTCAGGTGATCCTCCTGCGTTGGCCTCCCAAAGTCCTGGGGATTACAGGCGTGAGCCACCGCACCTAGCTCAGAATCAAAGTTTTATAGATATGGTTTCTGTTCTCCTAGATTTGAATGCACTTAATGTGTCAGTGGGTTCTCTTTCCAAGTTAGTGTGGACAGGGATGGTATGGACTATAGTGAGGTTTAGACAAGTTGCTGAAGATTTCTCTAACATAGTGGATGGTGGGAAGCCAGTGGAGGGAGCTTTCAGAAAAGTAAACCTTTGATGCTTTGCTGCAGTAAAATTGACTTTAGTGTGGTAAACTCTGGATGTGTGGTTCTTTTTCTATATCAGCTTTGTTCTGGGTCCACTGGGATAGATTTAGGCCCTTCTAGGATATCATAAGTTAAGGAAGACTTTTTGTTTGTTCAACATTTTATTTTTCTGTGTGCCTACAATAGACCAGGCATTGTGCATTAGGGTTAAATCAGAAAGCAAAGTAGACATGATTCCTACCATTGTGGAGTTTCTAGTCTAGAAAAGAATGAATGATTTGCAAATGGCCAATAGCTGTACATTGTGCTAAGTGGAAGGGAGGTCAGGGAAGGCTTCTTGGAGGCCTAAGCTTTTACCTAAAGGATGAGTAGAGTCAGCCAGGTAAAGAAGAAATAAGAGTGTTCCAGCCATTGGTCTGGTTGATCACAGACTTCAAGGGAAAAGGTAGCAAGACCTTGTGCTGGAGTTGCCTCCACCTGTGCTGCTTTGTGGTCTGGGGCCCACCTGGATGGATTTGCTGGACTACAGACTCACTGAGGCCCCTCTTTCCTCCCAGCTTTTCCTTCATAGCATTTTTGGCTACCGAGGTGTTGTCCTGTTTCCCTGGCAGGCCAGACTGTATGACCGGGATGTGGCTTCTGCAGCTCCAGAAAAGTATGTTTCCCTGTGGTTGTGCCTCACAGTATCCTCAGGAGGAGATGGCAGACATATGTAATGGGGGTACCAGGGGTGACGACAGCATCCTCCTGGGCCTTGGAAACATCCCCAGAGTACTTCTCTGGGACTAAGACCCATGGAGACAAAAGTGCTGAGTGCCAGGGATAGTCTCAGTCAGAGAGTCCCTTTAGGCCTCCCCAGAATGCTTTCCTAAGCCACTCCTAATTTTCATTATGAGTACCACAGAGGGCATTTGGGGGACAAGTCTTCTTGATTTGTTGATGTTCAGCTGGAGTCTTTCCCTCAATCTCACATCATCCCTAGAATACATTAAAACAGAAAAAGTTCAGCTCCATTAAGTGATCACAGACAGTCCCTGGGATATAAGAAGACAAGAGTACTCTGGGCCCTGGGGACTGAGGTGGCAATTTGATTTTCTCAACATGGCCCCCTTCTTTTAAGAGGTATCCACACAGTCAGATGATGGCTCCATACCATGGTCTTCCATGCTGTATTATTTGCCCCAACTGAGGAGCAGCTGAGCTGAGGTGCTGCAGAATGGGTGTCCAGCTGGTGCTAAAAAGCCCCTTCAGATCAGGGACCAGCCTGTTTAGGTCAGGAGGGGTAGGGAGCTGAATCAGGTGCAGCTTCCATTTCTCGTGCGGTGATCTTGGCCTCCTTCTCCCATCCCATAGAGCAGAGAACCCTGCTGGCCATGGCTCCAAGGAGGTGAAAGGCAAAACTCACACTTACTATCAGGTGCTGATTGATGCCCGTGACTGCCCACATATAGTAAGTAAGCAAAATGGCTGGGCCTGGGGGTCCTCTCCATGGAAAGTCCTGCATCCCAATGGGGACAAAGGGAGGGAAAGGGGTCAAACAGAGCCCAGGTCAGTCCTGGTCCCCAAGGCCTTGAACTGCACAGTGGCAAACAAAGCCCTGATTCACTTCTTGCCTCAGTCTCAGAGATCTCAGACAGAAGCTGTGACCTTCTTGGCTAACCATGATGACAGCCGGGCCCTCTATGCCATCCCAGGTGAGTAGTTAGCATTTGAATGGTGCCTGTCAAGGAGGAGTCTGGTGTGTCTCAGGGAGAGGATCCTGATGTCCTGTCATCCACTGGGAGGGATTATGATGCCAGGGTATGATACCAGGGTTATCCCATACTGGGACAAGGCCAGTTAATGTCTCTTCTCAACCCCATTTCTCTCCTCTCCTGTGTGAGTTTCACTGTGTTCTGCATCTCTGTGCCAGGCTTGGACTATGTCAGCCATGAAGACATCCTCCCCTACACCTCCACTGATCAGGTTCCCATCCAACATGAACTCTTTGAAAGATTTCTTCTGTATGACCAGACAAAAGGTAATCTCTCTCAAGAAGGGGAGGTGGAATGGGAGGGCCTTTTCATCAAAGAATATCATATAAATAATTCCAGGGCTGGGCGCAGTGGCTCACGCCTGTAATCTCAGCACTTTGGGAGGCCCAGGCAGGTGGATCATCTGAGGTCAGGAGTTCGAGACTGGCCTGGCTAACCTGGTGAAACCCTGTCTCTACTAAAAATACAAAAATTAGCTGGGCATGGTGGTGGGCGCCTATAATCCCAGCTACTTGGGAGGCTGAGGCAGGAGAATCACTTGAACTCAGGAGGCAGAGGTTGCAGTGAGCCAAGATCACACCATTGCATTCCAGCCTGGATGACAGAGCGAGACTCCATCTCAGATTAAAAAAAAAAAAAAAATGGGCCAGGTGCTGTGGCTCACGCCTGTAATTTCAGCACTTTGTGAGGCTGATGTGGGCGGGTCAGTAGGTCAAGAGATCGAGACCATCCTGGCCAATTTGGTGAAACCCTGTCTCTACTAAAAATATAAAAATTAGCTGGGTGTGGTGGCGTGCATCTGTGGTCTCAGCTACTTGGAAGGCTGAGGCTGGAGAATTGCTTGAACCCAGGAGGCGGAGGTTGCAGTGAGCCAAGATCGCGCCACTGCACTCCAGCCTGGCGACAGAGCAAGACTCCATCTCAAAAAGAAAAGAAAAGAAGTAATTCCAAAGCTCTATTTCCACAACCCTTTTCAACCCCCTGTTAGACCTGTCATGCCTCATAGGTGTCATACCTGACAGATGGCAGTTATTTTCTTACAGATATGGAAACTGAGGATCAGGGATGATGACAGGGGACTCAAGGTTGTTAGTAGCAGAGTGAGGGCTGAAAACCAGGGCTCTTAACTCCCAGGAGCTAGGTACACTAGCTCCTCGGGGCTTATTCTTGGTAGCAGTCCTGTGCCTTCTTCCAGCCTGTACTTTTGCTTCATGTATGAGCATCCTGTTTGCCTGGGCCACCACTAGGAAGGGTTTTCTAGGAGGGGCAATCGCATTGGACTGTTGGGTTGGACTAACCAATTGTATCTTGCCCCAGCACCTCCTTTTGTGGCTCGGGAGACACTAAGGGCCTGGCAAGAGAAGAATCATCCCTGGCTGGAGCTCTCTGATGTTCATCGGGAAACAACTGAGAACATACGTGTCACTGTCATCCCCTTCTACATGGGCATGAGGGTATGTGGCCAGCCTGGACCCCTTCTAGCAGGGGTAGGCCTCAAGGTATATGGTGTCCTTAAGGTGACTGCTGGGGGAGGGGAGTCTAAATATAAACCATGTCCCTGTGGTTCTGCTCCCAAGTGGTGGGGTTGAGTAGCCTCTAGACAGTGGCTGACACCAAGACCTAGAGCAGGCAGGGAAACCCATAGGTCCCAGGAAGGAATCCTTTATCCTGTCTCTTCCCTCTTGCTCAAAGGGAGCCATGTTTATGAAGAATATACACATAATTATTTAAAGCAGTGTAGGCATAACACTTTACACATTATAGACACTTAAACATTGCCTGGCTGTAAGCATGTGCAGTGGTAGGGGCCGCCCAACTCCACAGACAGAAGCTATAGGTCAGAGAAGTGTGATAGTCATTGCATGTTTGGATACAAATATAAATGAAACACCGTCCCTGTCTTTCAGGACCTCATAGTAGTGGAGGAGGCCAACTTAAAGTATTATAGTAAGGGACAGTAATGGGAGACAGGAGGAGGACAGGGGCCCAGGGCAGCAAGGATAGGGGGCAGGGCTGGCCAGGAGGACAGTGAAAAAGGTAAGAGTCCTGTAGCTGATTTCTGTTGGCATCCAGCTCTGTTGGCGATCTTGAAGGGATGAAGAGTGGGGAGGCCAGGAGTGGATACAGGGATGTTGCCTCCCTGTGGGTTTGTAGGCCATGGTTCAGCTATCATCCTTATCTCACAGATACTCTCAATTTGGTCTGTCTGCAACCTTCCTGGAATACATCAACTGCATTGGAGAGATGTTGATTGGAACACACTTGGTCTTGCCCTGTGGGACTTAAATTCTTTTTATTTTCTCCCTAGGAAGCCCAGAATTCCCACGTGTACTGGGTGAGTGGCACTGTCTGGGAGAAGGGGAGCTTGTGGGGTGTGCCTGGGGGTCAGGGTGGAGGTAGGGGAGCTCACCTTCTGGCGGGAGCGGAACCTGTGCAGTGCATGTGTCAGCTTTGTTGACTTTTGCTTTGCACAGAATTCTGAGGAGGGTTACCCAGAGTTTATTTTTTTTAAACTCCCTCTCCCACATCCCCTTCAGTGGCGCTACTGTATCCGTTTGGAGAACCTTGACAGTGACGTGGTACAGCTCCGGGAGCGGCACTGGAGGATATTCAGTCTCTCCGGCACCTTGGAGACAGTGCGAGGCCGAGGGGTAGTGGGCAGGGTGAGCATCCCTGGTCTAGTAATTCTGGTCCTGTGCAGCAAGCCTGGGGGCTTAGTGCAAGGCTTCCTTCTCCTTTGTGGTTATAGACAGAGGCTCACTTTGTGAACACATTGTGTTGTTTTGGGTTAGAAATCTTAAAACAACCCCATGAGATAGGTTTCTTAAAACCCATTTCATAGATGAAGAGAGTGAGACTGAGACATTAAATAACTAGCCCATGGTCCCATAACTAGTAGTGGCAGGGCCTGGATTAAACCTAAGTGAGTCTGAAGTCAAAACTTGTGTAGTTTTTAAAACTGGTGTAGTGTCTTTTAGAAACCGAAATTTGAATGTTGTTAGGTGGGGCACGCACCCCCACCACTCGCTGTGATCTTGCCTCTTTGCCCCTTTACATGTTTACATCCTCTGCTGGTCCTTGAAGAGATCTGATTTTATAATCCTTGCCTACCCAACCCTGTCTCCTGAGAAATAAAGTCACAAGCAGTACTGGTGTCGGGGCGACATTCAACAAGGATTTATCAAATTCAGCGGGGACTGGGGAGGCAGGTGGTAAAGTGAATAAGAACAGGGCTTTAGATTTAGCTAGTGACTTCAAATTCCAGCTGAGTTATATATTCACTGCATAACTTTGAGCAAGTTATTTAACCAAAATCTTAGTTCCTTACTGCTAAAATGTGGATCCACCAATTACCTTATGATCACTAGGAGAATTAAAGCAGCAGAGGTTTGCAGAGTACCTGCTGTGGTGCCTGGCACTTAGCACGCATGAATGGACACTGGAGGGGATATCTCCACAGTAGGTCCTTCGTTTTTAGAGACAGGGTCTCGCTGTGTTACCCAGGCTGGAGTGCAGCGGTGTGACCATAGTTTACTTTCCTGGGCTCAAGCAATCCTCTGCTTCAGCTTCTTGAGTAGCAAGACTACAGGCACACACCACTATGCCTGGTTAATTAAAGTTTTTTTTTTGTGGAGATGGGGTCTCACTGTGTTCCCCAGGCTGCAGAGGAGGTCCTTTGCCCAGTGCCCTCGGACATTCAGTCTGAGATATCTTTCCCAGAGCCAGCATAAGAGGCCCAGGCCAAATGGTCATGCTGTGGGAGGAGGTACTAGCAGGCAGCGTTATCACGTGGGATGCCTGCTATGGCGGTGGCTGGGCGGGGGACATTCAGTCTTGATGAACTGGCAGTCAGCATGTAACCCTGGGGTACAGGAAACATGTCCCTGGGGCTTGGCCTGACCCATTTTGCCTAAACCCTTACAGGAACCTGTGTTATCCAAGGAGCAGCCCGCGTTCCAGTATAGCAGCCACGTCTCGCTGCAGGCTTCCAGTGGGCACATGTGGTGAGTGAGTGTGCACAGCAGTAGGGACCACCCAGCTCCACAAACAGAAGCTGTAGGTCAAAACAGTGAGAGCTTAGAGCTTGCCATTAACTCTGGGCCAAGTTACATTCTTGGAGGCAGCCTTATCTGCTATTTATTGTTGTGTGGGACTTGTCTGATTTTCTCTTACTGCCTGTTTCCCAGTTCCCTATGATTTGTGGACTGAGGTCTTAGGCCAAAGAGGTCTGGTGATTTGATGCTGCAGAGTTTCTCATATAATTGGGTTTTTTCCCTTTGTGTTTCACTCCTTAGCCTGAAAATGCAGTTGGGTAGCTTATGCAGTATGTATCTAAAGGCCAGAATCTGGACACCTTTTTTTTTTTTGGAGACGGAGTTTCGCTTGTTGCCCAGGCTGGAGTGCAACGGCGCAATCTCGGCCCACTGCAACCTCCACCTCCCGGGTTCAAGCCATTCTCCTGCCTTAGCCACCCAAGTAGCTGGGATTACAGGCATGCGCCACCACGTCCGGCTAATTTTGTATTTTTAGTAGAGACGGGGTTTCTCCATGTTGGTCAGACTGGTCTCGAACTCCTGACCTCAGGTGACCTCAGGTGATCTGCCAGGATCAGCCTCCCAAAATGCTGGGATTATAGGCATGAACCACTGCAGCTGTTTTTCTTTTCATGGATAACCATGAGGGGCTCTTGGGTCTCTGGACGAGTCATCCTGTCATGAGCTAGACAGAAGAGAGCTCAGGCTCACACGTCCTCTGTGGCTGGCAGCTGAGGGCATGGGGCCATCCAGATCCTTAGGAGACCTCAGCCCTGGCTCCTTCTAAACCAGCTTCTCTCTGACCTGCAGGGGTACATTCCGCTTTGAAAGACCTGATGGCTCCCACTTTGATGTTCGGATCCCTCCCTTCTCCCTGGAAAGCAATAAAGATGAGAAGACACCACCCTCAGGCCTTCACTGGTAAGGCCAGCTGAGGCCCCAAGTGCTTCCTTGGTCACCAGGAAGAACAACTGTCATCCCACAATTGCTGCAGAACTCTTCTCTCCCCATCATGGGCCACAGTGGGTCTCTTAATTTGATTGTGGGGTTCTTTTTGTGGTGAGGGTGGTATAACTTTTCTTCAGAAGACCCATGTGGGACACCTCCAAGGCTGGCCTCCTCATAAGCCCTGCCTATACCATGTTCCAGTAAACCTCTCCACCTAGGAACTGTTTTCAGCTGCCACAGGCCTGGAGGAGTTTCCTGGCCTGTCACGTGAGGTTTGATCAGTAAACCAGTGCACGCTTGGCCACCCTTGCCATTTCTGCTCCCAGAGTCTCAGACTTCCCTTCTGACCCAGTGTGTGCCCTTGATTGCTTTCTCTGCTGCCCTTCCAGGGAGCTGCCCCCCGGTAGGGCATGTGCCTGTTTCCCTCTCAGCCTGGAGGCTGGCTGGACATCTCCTACGGTCAATGTGCCTCTCAGCTAGTTGGCAGGGTTGCTGGACTGGACTCTTGTTCACTTTACCTTTTGCCAAATGCAGAGAGGGAGACCAGTGTCAGAGTCAGAGTGGCCTGGCTCTTAGCACTGACCAACCATTGCCATTTCTGGCCTCGCTAGGCCCAGGAGAGGAGGGAGGCAAGCCAGTCGGGTTTCCTGGAGCAATGGGTGCGCCAGCCCTGAGCATGACTCTGCCAAGCATCCAGACCACAAATGCAGGAATTTGGCCGAGGAGCAGCTTTAGGTATGGATGACGACTAAGCCAAGCTACTTCCTGAGCTTCTCTCAGATTTCCAAGAGCCAGAGATGAATTGTGCTGCAACTTGCCCCAATTCTTAGGATTTCTTCTCCTCTGCCACTGCAGTGATTGTTAGAGGTCATTTTCTTGAATTAATATTAAATCACAGTTCCAGCCCTTGTTAGTGTTGTCCTTAGTCCTCCAGGGGGAGCCGGGGTTGCAGGGCAACAGTACAGTCGCGCTTATGACCTAGCTAGAACACAAGGTCAGGTGATAATGGAAACACAGGAACTCAGCCCATGGCCGCAAGCTGGCCAAGGCCTGCTCACTGTAAACATGGCTTTGTACCATTGAGTTTAGCACAATTTTATTAGAAATTAGTGTTTGCTTCCATCACTAATGCTGAGCAACCAAACATTACAGTTATGTGATAAGGAAAAATTCTCTCCTGCCCAGGACCTGCGCCATCCTTTAGGCCCACCTTGGTCACATACCAAATTCAATAAAATCCAATACTGGTCTGTGTTGTTAACAGCAGGCTGCCAGGTTTCTCAGAAACTGACAAGAAAGTCTGACCTTCATCTATACTTTTTTGTTTACTTACCCTTGGGCTGCTTGGAGTTGAAAAATGCACACAGCCAAGAGTTGCTTTCTGAATAGGGCTGGAAACTTTCAAAGAAAACCCCCAAACTTTTAAGCCACAAAGTCTCATTTAAGAAGCTAAGATCATGTCAGTGAGTTCAATGTTAGTATTTTCCTTAAGACCAAGGAGATATTTTCAGTCAGAGAAGATAAATGCCCAGTCCCAGACTACAGTGCTTTCTCTGCAAGAAAGACCGAGACACTGAGGATGTGAACGTCAAAGCAGTAAGCAGGGACTAAAGGGGATGGGGAGGTCAAAAGGCAAGCATCAAAACACCTCAGTGGGGAGCTGGGAATTTGAGTATTAAAGGACCTCAAGAGGGCAGCTGAGAAAATAGGCCAGTGGTCTCAGGCCGACGCATTCCAGTCTCTGTGGGAAAGTCACAAAGCCAAAGCCTGAATTTGGCCAAAGAAATGGATTTGTCTTTATCTTGTTAACCTCAATGAGGGCTGGAAGAACTAGTAGCTGACCACCAAGGTACCTGACCTGAGAGTCTTAGTGCTATTTATACATTCAAGACTGTGACTAACATAAAATGCCTAATTAGAAAGTCCCATTTCCCTTGTCCCGCCGTCATGTCACTTCAGGTCCTTGTGTCTAACCCTGGGTCTGGCATTTGCCCATAGGCTCTGTGGCATCAGCTATCATAAAAGTAGTTAAGAGGGATAAACTTGATAACCTGTGTTCTCTCCAAAGAGCGGAAAGTGGGTACAGTATGTGGCTACGTTGCTTTGTTAGGCTGGCAGAACAGTCCCTCCCTGATACCATTCCTTTGGAAAATAATTCAGATAAGCTGAATTCTGGTTTGGCCAAGCCAAACAAAAAGGAATGAAAACCAAAGCCTTAAAGAGGAACTTACCTCCTGGCTAGTTCTTGGCATCTCCATGGCTGAGTTACCCAACAAGGAGTGAAAGCCTTCAGGGTGCTTCAGTTGCTCCTGTCATCCTGCACTCAGAGACACCACTGGGCAGAACCACTATCCCAGCCAGGACAAACCAAGACCACAGGTGGTGTGGGCAGGGGGTAGATGTGTGGCCAAGCATGGGCTACCTCTGTGCAGGGGCTGCTGGGAGCACCGGGCTCTGAGTTTGCTGTCCTCAGGTGATGGGCATGCCAGCCAACACCATGCAGTACCCACAGGCTTCACGGTCTTCCTGCCGTGGCTCATGTTTCTGGCCCCTGTGACAGCTCTTTGGCTTTACCGTATGTGAGGACAGCATGGCTGGAAGCCAGGGGTACTCAAGAGAACCACAAAGAGCAGTCATGCTAGACCTAGGAGCCAGTGATGTGACTCTAAGATGGGGAGGTAAAATGTCCTTTCTCACAGGCACCCTGTGAGGACTGCAGGTCCCAGCTTAGCCATCCTTCCCTCCTCGGTGCACTCTGAGCTGCTGGCCAGGCTGGCAAAGCCAGAGCTGCTTTGTTGGATGTTTTTTTATTGCTTCCTCTTTATCCCCTCTTTATCCTCTATTCTGCAGGGAAGCAGGGATTAGGGTAGAAAGACATGGGTCAGGGAGAATATCAACCTCCTGAATAACAGTACAAAGTGCTTTAAAGAAACAGATCCCACAGGCATGGAGAAGGGCCAAGGGTTCTGCCATATGTAGGGTCTTGGCACCCTGGAGGGCAAAAGAAATGCCCAGTTTCCTCGTTACTAGATTTAGAACTATTCATTTCCTAGATTATTTTTTAAAAACCAAACTTACCAAGCCTTGTGCTTAAACACCTTAGGAAAAAAGACATCCCACCTTCCATTATAAAACTGGGCCTCTACAACACCAGGAGCGGCCTTTTCCCCAGAATGAACCCATTCCCCATGGGCCTCAGCTGAGGCCTAAGGGGCAGTAGCCCTTCCACAGAGGGCCTAGGGGAAGGTTCTCGGCAGGAGGTGGGTCAGCCCATTTGCCCCAGGGAGCAGAAGCAGCTCCCTGTCAGACAGGAAGGGTGATGGTGAGCAGATAGGACAGGACTCAGTCTCCATAAGTGCTCGGGGGCAAGGCAGAGGAATGTGGTCCCTCCTCTGCCCAGACCCTCTGACCTCCGAGCAGGGTCTGTCATGCCTCTGGGTGCTGGAGCAGAGACCCAGCCAGCAGCAGCATGGGGTGGCCAATAGGGCAGGTTCCACAGGACAGGAGATAGGGCCTCCCGTGCCCTGACTTTCTGAGGGTCTGGTCAGTCACGATGAGTAGACTGGTGGCCGAGCTGCCGGTCATCGTAAGTGCTGTAGCGCTTGACGTGGATGCGGCGGACACGGTCCCGCAGTTCAAAGGTCTCCTCGTCTTCACTGGGGGAAGCCTGGCTGCGGCTACGGCTTGTAGCCTCCAACAAGGAGTTGTCGGGAACGCGGGGAGTCTCATAGAGTAAAACGTTGAGTGTCTCCTCATAGATTCGGGCCTCTGGGAATTCCACCTGGGGTGAGGGAGGATGAAGACGGAGCAATGTTTCATCTTGGAGAGGGAGCTGTGTGTCAGAGCTGCTGGCCCTGAGGCTCCATAAGGCCTCTGCTACCTCATAAGACAGGTGGCGGTCCGTCTCCAGGGAGAGCCAGCCTCCCTCCTAAGGCGGGGTGAGGGAGTGTACTCTATAGACATGAGGACAGGGAAGACCAACACCCTCCGCACCCCTGCCCCAGCCTGAGACCAAGGGACTAGTGGGCATAGAGGGTGGGCCAGGCCTAGGTCCAAACACAGCTCCACCACTTGCTAGCTGTGGAGCCTTGGGCTGAACCCTTCTGGGCCGTAGCTCCTTTATGTACAAAAGGATGGTTTAGATCAACCCCTGAGAGTTCCTGTCAACATTACAGGAAAGATGTGATTGCTTAGCAGAAGCCTGGCACATAGCAAACCACCAAGCAGAGACATACAAAGAGCAGCTGCTATGCTGAGTGGTTCCGCTGCCTTTCCCTGCCTGCCCGACCCAGTGTGTCACCGGCATGACCTGCCCGGAGGAGAGAAAGGGAATGCAGTCAAGCACCTGAATTCTAGCCTGACCTGCTCTGTTGGACTGAGCTTCTGTTCTCTCATCTGTCACATGGGGAGAGTGGCTCTAGCCCTGTGTGTCTCACAGGTGTATTGTGAGAGGTCACAAGAGTTCATGAAAGAGAACACACTTAGGAAGATGCCAGGTGCTGCTGCCACTTCCACCGCAGCGTCACCAGCCACTAGAGACCTGCCCCTGAACCCTTTCGCCACCGATAGGGTCAGGAGCCACCCACACTGTCACCTTCCCTCCCACCCCTACACCAAAAACTGCAGGAGGAAGCAGGGTCACCTGTAAGCTGGCCTTCCCCAAACCCTCTGCAGATCTCCCAGCCGGAGGCACTTGAATAGTTTAGGGGTCGACAGGTTGCTTGGCAAGTCTGGCTACTTTGAGCTCTTCACACCTACATGGCCCTTCCTGGATGACCTGCCATCCACCCTAGCAGATCATCTCCAGGACCTGCACTCACAGGAGGCAGCTCCTTTCTGGGGTAACTGACTGCAGCTGGGGGAGAGGGGCCAGCTGAGTTTGTGATGACTGTCACCTATCAAATGCCTGATGTGTACCTGGCACTAAGTTGATTAGCCAGAAACCCCCAGCTAGTGGGGGCCAGTGAGGAGATTTTATTTTATTATTATTAAGAGTGTTTGGAAACTCCTGGGCTCAAGGGATCTTCCCACTGCAGCCTCCTGAGTAGCCGGGACTACAGGCGTGTGCCACGATGCCTGGCTAATTTTTCTATTTTTTGTAAAGACGGGGTTTCACCATGTTGTCCAGGGTGGTCTTAAACTCCTGGGCTCAAGTGTTGTGCCCGCCTCTGTCCCTGGCTCAGATAGGAAATCTGAACAGCATTCTAACATGAAAGCCCAAGCTATTTCTACACCATACTTCCACTCCAAAAAGTTGTATCATTTTCGTATCTTGTCATACCATCATCCCCATGTCTGCAAATAAGGAACCTGAGGCCCAGATGGCTTAAGTGGCTTATCCAAAGTCAGAAAACTGGCAAGTGGTGGAGCCAGCGTTCAAACCTGAATTGGGCCAACTTCAAAGACCCAGTCCTTCCCACTGTACTAAGCCACTTCCTGCTGGTCAACGGCCCCTGCCCTGAGCTGTCAGGAACAAAGCGGTTCCCTTCCATTCCCCACACCCCCTTGTTCTGGCTTTGTCCTTGCCCAGCACCATTATCATGTTTGGAAAAAAGAGCCAAGTGCACGCCCCTTTTGCTCCGTGCTAGTCACACCCCAACCACACCCTCCTACAGTGGGTGTGTGTCCTCCCTGACCCATGCAGAGGGAATCCCCCACACCTTGGTCTGCTTCTTCTCTGTGGCATACACGATGGAGGTACAGCACACCTCTGCCAGCTTACGGCCCTGGCCATAGAAGGACCAACAGCAGATCTCGTCGCCAATGACATCCTTGATGAAGAGCACGCGGCCGTTGAAGCGCAGGGAGAGCTTGTCAAATAGCTCGATGTTTTTCAGCAGGTGGTCATCAGAGTTGCTGAAAAACCCACGAGGGCCAAGAGGCCTGGGAATGAGGTTCCATTCCAAGGGAGTGTGCTAGACAAGTGGAGCCCTCCCCTCCCTCCCTTCCCCTGTCCTGTCCTGCTGAAATGAAAGCAAGATGCCAGGGGGCCAGGAGAGAAAGGATCATAGGGTACCCTCTGGGTTAGGGGGCCTGTAAGGAAAAGGAACTGAGTTGGTTTTAAGTCAAAGTAGGGACAACTGAGGGAGCAGGTCTCCCCTCACTAATGGGGAAGGAAGGAGACAACGCTGCTATTTCAGTGGGAGGCATTCCCTCCCTTACTGTGGGGGTGACAGTGGCAATGTGCCTGTCCACAGGGAAGCATAGGGAGGGTTTGGGACTCTGAACCTGCAGCCACCTGAGTCTACCTAACTGTGGCCTATGGATAGGACATGGGCTGGAGGGTGTGGGGAGAGAATCAGCCCAGTGTGAACCGCACAGGCTGACTCGGGGGACTCCCAGCTCACTGGCCTCCTAGCATCCCCTTCACCTGGTAGGATGACATGTGTGAAAACACCTGACATGCTGCCTTCGTGATACACGTTGAGGGCGCATTTCACCTTCAATCATTTATATCCCAGCCAGGGCACCCTGCCGAGTTCCAAAGGCCTCTGTCCCAATTTCCCTTCTACTTTCTGTTCTTCCCCCACTTAGCACAGCTAGTTCCAAGACCCAGGCCCAGACCCACGCCGACCATGCTGGGAGTGCAGGCAGCATGCATTGGGTCTGCTGCCCAGTGTCTGCTCTGGCTGCTCAGCCCTGTGACGCACCCTACCTGGTGTAGGAATACTTGTTGTTGCTTCTGTTGTACAGCAGCTTCACCACGGGCTGTGAAGGAGTTCAGAGTGAGGGCCAGGCCGGGGGCCTGGCATCCCCAGCCCGCAGCCCGCAGCCCTCAGAGGTCCCGGTACCTTGGTGGAGGATTCGATGAGCCGCTCCTCCTCCTTCAGGGATGTGATGATGGGGATGTTGCACACAGGCTGGTAGGAGTCCTTCTTGTCCTGCGCGACACAGAACAGAGAACCCTCTTTAGGATCTTCTGCTTTCCAGGCTTAGCCAGGTACCTCTGGAGCCCCTCTGCCATGGCCACCTGCAGCTTGGTGAGGAAGTGTCAGACACAAATCATGAGGCCCCTGGCAATAGAAACTGCCAGCTGGAAAGTGGACCCCCATTTAGAAAACCCACGATCCAGGCCAGGTGCGGTAGCTCACACCTGTAATCCCAGCATTTTGGGAGGCTGCGGCAGGCAGATAGCTTGAGCCCAGGGGTTTGAGATCAGCCTGGAAAACATGGTGAAACCTCAGTCCTACAGAAAATACAAAGATTAGCCAGGTGCCATGGCGCACGCCTGTATTCCCAGCTACTCTGAAGGCCAAGGCACGAGAATCACTTGAACCCAGGAGGCAGAAGTTGCAGTGAGCCAAGATCACACCACTGCACTCCAGCCTGGGTGACAGTCAAAAAAAAAACAACAAAAAAAAACCCGACAATCTAAAATCCAGGTATCAAAGCATAGACACCAGAAGCAGGGCCTAATCACGCTGCCAAGTGTGAACACCCGGCTGCCAGGTTGGTGGGCCTGGGTGGCATCTCACTTGTCTCATTAGGTTTGCACTCATCAACCACGCCTCCCACACAACCTGCCAGGAACCAGAGTCCTCCATCCCACAAGAAGGGGCAACTCCTGACCTCGTCTGCCCACCCTGCTCCGCCCTACCCGTGTACCTGCAGGGCACTCTGGCACATGTTCACCAGCCCCTGGATGAGGTAATACTTTGCTTCAGCCATCAATTCCTTGATTTCTTGCCGGTTCTGAGGGAGGGTGATGGTGTCATCTCGGAGGTAATTCAAAATGGTGCCAAAGTGCTTTCCACAACGGTCTATGAGGATCCAGCCTGGGGGTGCAGATGACCCTACGGGGTTAGTTTGCCACCAGGTACCTCCGAGGCACACAAAGACCACCTGATGAGCTGGCAGCAGGTGGCAAGGAAGGGGGTCCACAAGCACAAAGCCCTCGCGCAGGGTGACAGAGGCGGGGATGGAGGTTCTAGCACTCAGGCCCATGGCTGCTCTTCACCCTTCCTCTCTGAAACCCAGAACTGGCACATCCCACAGGGGATACAGCTCTCCAGGCTGTACAGGCCACAGGGGCCTAGGCTCAGGGCACCAGGCCCAGCCCAACACAGAAACCAACTGCTGCCGGCCTTCTGCCCACTGCCCAGTCTTAAAGTGATGGCTCCTATGAGAATGTTGTCCTATTCAAATATTTTAAAAGTATGGCTCTTCTTCCTGGAAAATGCATAAACATAGCATTCCATGTACAATTTCACAGAATTCTGAAGCTCTACTAGGGACTCCAGGGGATGACACCTTACATAAGGTGAAGAGGAAAAGTGACTGAATTCTAGATCTGGTCATTTCCTTGGGAACCTCTCCTGCCCTCCCCACCCCGAGCAGCAAGCCCCAATGCCTCACCTTCTTTGTCTGTCAGCACCTCCATGCGCCCGCTGAACATGGCCTTGAGCATGGTGTCGTGGCGGGTCAGGGCCCGCACGGTGGTATAGTACAGAGAGCCGCCCACGTTGAGCTGGACGTACTTGTTGCCCAGCCCTCCTCCCTTGAATCCACTGAGCTTGGGCTTGGCCCCTGAGGCTGGGCACAGGCAGGTGTCCCCCGACATCTCCCGCTGCAGGTAGATCACCACACGGCAGGAGGTAGGCTTGGAAGGCTCCGCCGTGGTGGAAAGGGTCACGAGTGAGTGGCCAGTGGAGGCCAGAGCCTCATACTCTCAGTGCTGGACATGGGAAACGGGAGAGAAGACAAGAGTCAGCTGAGAGAGCCCTTAGACCAAGAGGAGACAATAGCGGAAACATGACCGTACTCATTCTCTCCTTGACAAGCCCAAGCACTGCTCCCTGGCAGAGGCTAAGTCCCTGCCATTTTGCTTTCTTTTTTTTTTTTCTTAGAGACAGGGTCTCACTCTGTCACCCAGGCTGGAGTGCAGTGGCGCCATCTTAGCTCACTGCAACCTTTGCCTCCCAGGCTCAAGTGATCCTCCCACCTCAGCCTCCTGAGTAGCTGGGACCACAGATGCGCACCACCACACCCAGCTAATTTTTTTTTTCTTTCTTTTTTTGGTAGAGACAGGATTTTACCATGTTGCCCAGGCTGGTCTCGAACTCCTCAGCGCAGGCGATCCGCCCACCTCAGTCTCCCAAAGTGCTGGGATCATAAGCGTGAATCACCGTGTCTGGCCTCCCTGCCATTTTTACTATAGCAGGAACCAGGGCTGGAGGCAGTCTCCCAGACTCCTGCCCTGGTCCCCTCATCAGCCTCCCTGAGACTCAGCTCTATTCAGGGCCTCAAGGAAGACAAGCAAACCCATGGAACCAGTCAGAGAGGGCCAGAGGAACAGATCACCCTAGAGATCTACCAGTCAGATTCCAGTTACTTTCTTGTCAAGGTTCCCAGGATCCCAGACTTCCAGCCAAGCCTACTGGGAATCCAGCTAGCCTAGGAGTTTCCCAGGAGCCAGAGGGACAGGATGCACTTCCTTTCTAAAGATTCCAGCCTCAAGAGCAGCCTGTGCCAGTGTTTATTTTGAGCACCACCGAGAGTCTGGCTTCAGGAAGGAAAGTAAAAGCAGCTTCAGGAGAGAATTGAGTAAGCCAGGGTGGGGGGTGCTGGCCAGTGTTCTTGGCGCAGGTTACCTGGGCTTCGGCTGGGGCTTCCTGACCTTCCCCTTTCTTGGCACCAGGCTTGTCCCAAGTTCCTGAAATTGTCACCATTTTTCAGGGAAGAACAGCTATAGGGTGGCTGTTTTCCTTTCTTTTTCCTGAGAGGGAGCCCAGCCCTACTCTCCTCTTCTCTCCCAATAAGAATGGGAGAAGAAAGGACTAGAAAAGATCAGAGGATAAATCTAAAAACAATGAGGTAAGCTGTGTGCTGCCACCTGCCTGTACTCCTGGCTACTCAGTAGGCTGAGGTGGGAGGATCTCTTGAGCCTGGTAGTCAAGACCAGCCTGGGCAACATAGCAAGACCCCATCTCTTGGCATTTAATATATATTAGCTCATTTAACTAATTCAGCAATTAAACTACTGAGTGCCTACTATGTTAAGCAATAGGGAACAATGAAAAAACATTGTCTTTGCCTTCAAACAGTTCAAAGGAGCATCATAACAGGAATTTTTAAAAAGAGAGAGAGCTAGCATTTATTGTACCCCTATGTGCCAGGCACTGGGTACTCAGAAGAGAACAAATATAGAAAGTCATGTCCACATGGCGCTTACATTCTAGTGGAAGGAAATAGACTATAAACAAGGACTTGAATAAATAAACAGATAATTCCAGAACCTGATAAATGCAATAAAGATAATAAAACAGTGACATGAGAGTGATTAGGGAGAGGCACTAATTTAGACAGAGGGACAGGGTAAGCATCTTTGGGAAGGTGACATTTCAGCTGAGGTTTGAGGAGAGCATTCTACACAGATGGAAGAGTAAGTGCAAAGTTCCTGTTAGAAACAAGTTTTAGGGGCCGAGTGTGGTGGCTCACACCCATAATCCCAGCACTTTAGGAGGCTGAAGTGGGTGGATTGCTTGAGCTCAGGAGTTCAAGACCAGTCTGGGCAACAGTGAGAGTTTGTCTCTACAAATGAAAAAAAATTAGCCAGATATGGTGGCTCATGCCTGTGGTCCCAGCTGCTTGGGAGGCTGAGGTGGGACGATTGCTTGAGTCTGGGCAGGTCAGCCTGGGTGACAAGGAAATCTCGTCTCAACAACAACAAAATAAAAACAAGTTTTAGGATCAGAAATAAGGTCATAATGGCTGGTGCACAGACAGTAGGGGGAAGTTGGTTTGATGTCAAGTCAGGGAAGGCAGGTGTTAGATGATAACAAAGTGTGGATTTCATACTAATTGCTATTACATATATATATATATATATATATATATTTTTTTTTTTTTTTTTTTTTTGAAACAGAGTTTCACTCTTGTTGCCCAGGCTGGAGTGCAGTGCCACGATCTCGGCTCACTGCAACCTCCGCCTCCCAGGTTCAAGCTATTCTCCTGCCTCAGCCTCCCTGAGTAGCTGGGATTACACGCATGCACCACCATGCCCAGCTAATTTTGTATTTTTAGTAGACATGGGGTTTCTCCATGTTAGTCAGACTGGTCTTGAACTCCCGACCTCGGATGATCCGCCCGCCTTGGCCTCCCAAAGTGCTGGGATTATAGGCGTGAGCTACCGCGCCCGGCCTATTGCTATATAATATATGAATCAATTGGAGAGTTGCAAGCAGAGGAGTGATATGATCTGACTTGCTTGTAGTGTATTTTGAAAAGATAACGGCTGCTGGGTAGAGAATGAATTGTAAAGGTGCAAGAGAGGAAGTGGGAAGACCAGAGGAAACTGTAGTCTAGGCAAGAAGAGATGACGGCGGGCCTGGACCACGTTAGTAATAACGGAGACAGAAAAAAAGTGGAATGATTTCACCGAATGCTCATTACATGCAGGAGTTTACAGTTGCTCCTCTCTTGTAAGTGCAACCCAGAAGCAGGGCACTGGTTTCCTAAGTTTACTGCTGTGTTCCCCTAATGGTGCTTAGCACAATGCCATGCACATTTTAAGTATTTAACATATGTCAGTTTGTTGGATTGAAATTGTCCCTGAAAAGATTTAGGTAAGTCCCTGGGAAGAATGTCCAAGGAAGTGGACGGCCAGCGTGGGTGCTGTGTGAAGCAGTGAATTCCTTTGGCGGCTTGTCTGGGAGACTCTTTCCTTTGCCACAGAGGTTGGGTATGGGAGGTGAACCCTCACCAGGAGGCTGCCAATGACTAAGAAACACTAGAATGGTATGAGATCACCTTCCCTTCTTCCGCCCACCTCAAAGGAATAAATCCACCTCCCTAACAGGCATTAGCAAGTTCCCTATGTATTTTGTGTCTAGCCCTAGTTTTCCCAGGATCAAAGAAAGCATACATACATGTTCTGTCAATGCAAAGAAGCTCAAAGGATAGGCCTGCCAAGAGAGGTCGGCGGATCCAGAGTTAATCTATTCCTTTCCTACAAAGCAATTGCTTTGAGCCCCTGGATGACGTCAATCAGATTCCGCCCAGACCAATGGGTTCCAGGAATCCTGTGGCAGGTGACGCCCCAGAAAGTAATTCCAGTGAGAATGAAGTTTCCACTGATAGCCACAGTGCTCTTCCTTCCGCACTTTGTGTGTGGATATTTGGGGATGCCTGGGGCTAGGGGCGGATCCATGGCTCACGCAACGAAGCTAATGGGAACCCAAGCAGAACAAAGGGCAAACAGCCGCGGCTGTAGAAAGAGGAGAGGTCTAAAAGGAAGAAGGACCCAGAAATCCGTCAGACACGGAGGACGGCGCGGGGAAAGCTGAGGGCTAGAGTGGGCGGATCTAGCAGAAACCCTAGGTGTAAAGGTTAAGCGTCACCCAAAAAATCCTGGGAAATGTGGCCGGTGTGGGCTCTTCTCTAGCCCGGGCCACTCCTCACTACCGAGAAACCCACACCGATTCTCACGCCCACCCTCCGTGGGAGATCAGAGCTCTCCTTTTCCCCAACGCCGCCCGCGCCTTTTCCCCAGGACCCGGCCGGGCTCGCTATACTCCAGCAGGGGCCGTCCATCCCTTCCCCGAGGGCATCTGCGGGCCCGGCTCTCACCGTCCCCGGGGGCGCCTCTCCTCTCAGCTGGGTGGCCAGCGGACTCCGAGCCGCCCCTAGCCTGCAGCCGCCTGCCCACCAGCAGTCCCGGGCTGTGAGCTCACATCCTGCGCTCGCCGACTCCGCCCGGAGTGCGGCCCAGCCCCACCGGTCGGGGAGCCTGAGACTACAAGTCCCTGCATGCATAGCGCTCTATCCGGGAAAGGGTGGAGGCGGAATCCCCCGAGGGTCTTCGCGGAGAGAGGAAAGCCACTTCCGGTCGCCTTGCCGGCGCTAAGGCTTCTGGGTCTTGTAGGCCCGACCTCCCCTCGGGCCTCTGTTTCCCAGCAACCTCTGTGGATTCGGGGCTGTAAGTGCTTCCGGGGTCAGGAAGGTAGTGACGTCATGGGTAAACAGGTTCTGTAGCCGTGGCAGCGGCCGTGGCAGGCTGACTGGGTACCGGCTGCCGCTGACCCGGGAGAAGCTGCCTGTCTACATCAGCCTAGGCTGCAGCGCGCTGCCGCCGCTGGGCCGGCAGGTAGGCTGACCTCGGGTCGGGGGATGCGGGCGGACCAGAGGCGAGAGGAGCCTGACAGGCCCGCGTCCTGAGGAAAGAGCCCGGGCGGAGAGAGTGGGAATTCCGCCCCACTCTCAGGGGGCGCTTTCACACCCAGGTTAGGCCTGGAGTTTGACGCGTTGATGCTTGCCACGATCTTACGAGGAAACGGGGCTCGGATAAATTCGGGGAATTTACATAGTAAAGAGTCTGCTCGCAGTGCCTCGCATGCATCTGGGAGAGCCTGGCCACACAAATTATGCCACCGCGTCATGCTCAGGGAGCTTAGTCCCAGCTCTTGGGCCAGGTGTTGCTCAGATGCTCAGACACGCGTGTGATGGGAGTTGGTAGAGAATCTGTGAACTCTTTCCCTGCACCCCTTCTTCCATCTTACCTATCTCTTTAAGCCAGCCCCTCCAATCAGATAGGTGGGCCAAGCCAGATTCATGGGAGTCATGCCTGACTTGTTTTTCTCTTATCCCAAAACCGCCACATTCAGTCAGTCCATTACTAAGCCCCAATCACCTCGACTTACAAAACATCTCAACTCGGAGCACTTGTCTTCAGCTGCCAGCCTTGGTTACTGTAATGGTCTCCTGTTTCCACGGTCATTCATTCCGCATTTACTGAGTGCCAGTTATGTGTGGGCACCATGCTAGGTGCTAGGGTTAGAGCGGTGAACAAGAAGGTAGTTGGGGCCTTGCCCTTTCTTGTTCCCTCCAATCCGTTCTCCAGGCTAAGCAAGAATGATCTAAGTCTGATTTTGTTGGTTTGCTGAGAACTCTCTGGCTGCCCATTACCCTTCTGATAAAATCCAAGCTCATTACTGTGTCTTTCAGAGCCTTCCGTGATCCAGCTGTTGCCTCCCTGTCTAGCCTCATTCTGTTCCCTTCTCTTGCTCAGTCTCAGTTCTCGGAATGCATCAAATTTCCTGTTGCCTCAGGATCTTCATGTATGTGTTTCCTTCTGCCTGCAATGCCTTGCTTCCCTTTCACTTGACAAACTTTTGGACAGTCTTTAGGTCTGTTTAAGTGTCATTTTTTCAGAAGGCCTCTGTAGGCACTCCCCTCCATTCCGCCAGCCATGAACTGTGTCCTGCCGCACTTCACATAGCACCATGTACTTTTCCTTATACTAATACCACGATTTGTGATTATTTGTTTACCATCTGTCCAGAGGCATTGTTTTCACTAGTCTGTCCCCAGAGCAGGGACTCAGTGGATGTTTCTGAATAAATGCGTGCTCTCAGGGAAGGGAGTGGAAGTTGAAGCAGATATTTGCTCCCTCACGTTGCTCGAATCTTTCTGGAGCAGCTGGTCAGATTAATGACCTGTAGCTGCGAAAGACTTTTTTTTTTTTTTTTTTTTGAGACAGGGTCTCACTCTGTTGCCCAAGCTGGAGTACAGTGGTGTGAACATAGCTCACTGCAGCCTCCACCTCCTGGGCTCAAGCGATCTTCCCAGCTCACCTTCCCAGGTAGCTGGGATTACAGGCGCATGTCACCAGCCCTGGCTATTTTAAAAATTTTTTGTAGAGACGGTATTTTGCCACATTGCCGTAGGTTTCGAACTCCTATGCCCAAGTGATCCTCCCACCTCAGCCTCCCAAAGTGCTGGGATTATAGGCATGAGCTACTGCACTGGCCAGATCTTTTTAAAAAGCCCTATTTTAAGGAAGCTACAGATGAACACAGTGCTTCAAAAGGATGATGCTAGCTCACTTACATCAGTGGATTCCAGTGAGGCCAAAGGCTAAAGTCATCTACAGACAGCTCATAGACACGTATTAGTTAGCCCATGCAGTGTTGAATGTGGGTTTTCCCCCTTACTTAAAAGTTTTGAATTACATACCAACATTGAGATATTGGATTTCTGGTCCTCTTAAAAACCAGAAGTTCTGGCCGGGTGCGGTGGCTCATGCCTGTAATCCCAGCACTTTGGGAGGCTGAGGTGGGTGGATCACGAGGTCAGGAGTTTAAGACCAGCCATGGCCAACATGGTGAAACCCCGTCTCTACTAAAAATACAAAAATTAGCTGGGCAAGGTATCAGGCACCTATAATCCCAGCTACTCAGGAGGCCGAGGCAGGAGAATTGCTTGAACCCAGGAGGTGGAGGTTGTAGTGAGCCGAGATCATGCCACTGCACTCTAGCCTGGACAATGGAGTAAGACTCCTTCTCAAAACAACAACGACAACAACAATAACAACAACAACAAAAGATCCAGAAGTTCTGGAAACAGTGAGACTTGATTATTTTCGAACCATTGCTCCTCTTGTGGCACACCTGCCCTAGACAGCCACCCCCAGAATCACCCCATTCAGAACAGGACTTCTCTAAGGAAGCCACGAGGGAAACAGCTGAGGCTGGGGGCAGTGAGGGTAGAGGGAAGAGGCTGGTGCAGGTCCAAGTGATGGTAGACTTTGGAGCACCTGGGTTTTAGAATTGGCATAGCAGCTAATTGCTAGATGTAACTAGCATTGCCTCCCTTTTTAAACAGGTCATATGATGTCTATTTTTAATTTTGTGTGTGTGTGCGCGTGTGCGTGTGTGTATGTTTGAGCCAGAACGAGGGTGAGTTTTCAGTATTTCCTTCCCAGAATTGAGGCATCTTTGGAACAGAAATGCAAGGTGGCTTGGAAAGGGAGAAGATATCTTTGTTAGTTCTCTGTTGCCTACAGAAAAAATCGTAACTCCTTAGCTTGGCATACGGGTCTTCCTGGTCTGGCTCCAGCTCACCTTTTCAGCTCCATCCTTTTTCCTTTCATCCTTAGGCGGGGTAGGTCCTTTCAGTGACTTCAGGCCTTTGTCCATGCTGTTTTCTCTGCTTGGAATACCTATCCCTGGCCTGCTGCCTTGATACGTTCTTGCTGATACTTCATTCCTTTTTGTGTTTTCTGCTAGAAAGAGAATAACCCAACTTTGATTCCCAATTCAGGCAAGCATACATTTTGAGTAATATTCTTACTCCTGACTTTGTATTTTTTAACCATAATTTTTAATTCACCCAGATTTCTTTTATTTGGTTTGTGTGTTGTTCCAGTATGTGTATTTGAGAAGCCTTCTCATGTGCTTTTGGGTACATAACTGGTGATATATAAAGTAAATACACTTATGGCTCACAACTTAGTTCAGATGTCACTCCTTCTTTAACGGCTCTATCCTCCTCTGGCTCTTTACTGATATTTCTAAACAAGCATTTAACACAGTGTGATTTTTCAGTTTCCGTGTCTGTCTTCCTCCAGCTGAACTATGTGTCTTCAGGGCGGGCACCGTGTTGCATTCATCTTTGTACCCCCAGCATCTAGCAGTGTTGGCATGTAGTAGGCACTCAAGAAATGTGTGTTGAATGAACGATGCCTGTGACAAGTAAGCGGACTTTATTCTTTCCTGACCCTTGCTCCTATGACACACCTCCTCCTGACTGCCACTGTCACTCCTTCAGAGCAGAACTCCTCTAGGAAGTCTGGATGGGAAACAGGTGAGGCTCAGAGAGGTGGTGGCAGAGGGAATGGGGAGCCTTTGGAACATCTGGGTTTTTGGCATTGGTGTCCAAGGGCAGGAACAGGGCTGGCTTGGCAGCAGGCATTTCACTGGGTGGCTAGGAAGTGATGAGGAATTGGGCTGGTTTCTTTGCAGCCATGGCCAAGGACATCCTGGGTGAAGCAGGGCTGCACTTTGATGAACTGAACAAGCTGCGGGTGTTGGACCCAGAGGTTACCCAGCAGACCATAGAGCTGAAGGAAGAGTGCAAAGACTTTGTGGACAGTGAGTATTGGGGAGATACCGTGTCACTCAGCTTTGAGCTGCCATTCCAACTGTACCCCAGGCTCATCTTGGCCCTGCCACAGTGGAGCTGCTGGCTCCCTGGAGGTCGAATCTGGCATCTGTGAGTTCCCATGTGCCACCCTTCTCTGCCTGCCCTCGTGCTCTCATGTGTCCCCAGCAGAGCACCAGTCAAACCAAACACTGGGATGGGGAGGGTGTTTTTAGAGATGCCATCTTTCATTTCTTGCTCTTAGAAACCTTAAACTTTCTGGGAACATAACCATGGCTTGGGGGTGAGAAATAGAATTATGTACTCCTGATTTGATTTCTTTAGAGGAAGTCTTCTTAGTGGCAGGTTCTCTGTTATTTGGAGTTAGAAGTGATAAGTGAAGTTTCTAGAAGCAGCTCAGCAGACTTACTGAAGTCATCTTTTGGCTAGAAATCTTCAGGAAGCCTCCTGTCCCAGCAGCCAAGTAAGCCCAATGCATTCAGTACAGAGCCCTATCTAGCTAGAGCAAGGGATTTCTGAGCTTTCTGGGGGCTTCCTAGGTTGTGGAGAGAGCTTGATTAGTGAAAGGTAGCTTGGGTTCTGTCACTAACCTTCTGTGATTGATGTGCCATGCACACACCTCTCTGGGCCTTAGTTTTCCCTCAGTAAGTTGTGTTTCCGTCACATCCAGGACATTGGAGAAAGTGAACAGGAGATTAGGCACTTAATGCTGTGAGCTCTCTATTTTCTGTGGTTACAAGTGGGAAGCCCCCATCCCCACTGTTAATTGAAATCTGGTGTCATACCCGTAGCTAGTCCAGAGGCAGCGCTTGTGTCCTGAGGCTGCCCTTTTGTGAACAACAGTGCTTCCTGTCATTCCTGGGGAAGCAGGTTGGGGTCTGTCTGGAGGATGAGCCCAGCAAGGGCCTAGTGCTTTCATAGCCTGAGATCATAGCAGCTGGTTGGCTCAGTGGGGACACAAGGTCCGGGTATGTCCTGGTCCAGCTGGCCACCCTTCTCTAGGTTCAGACCAAGGGTAGGAGACAGGCCAATAGGCACCAAAGTGTTTAAGTGACAGGGTCTCGCTATGTTCCCCAGGCTGGAATGCAGTGGCAGTTCACAGGCATGATCACACATCCTCTAACTCCTGGGTTCAAGTGATCCTCCCACCTCAGCCTCCTGAGTAGCTGGGACTACAGGTGCTCACCACCATGCCTGGCTCACACCAAACTATTTTGACACAAATTAGAAGGGGCAGTCAGCTCTGCCCTCGCACTGCCTCAGCACTCTTACCGAAGGGCAGTGATGAGACTGAGGAAATATTTTATTTTTTGTTCTTTTTCTGAAAGAAATTGGCCAGTTTCAGAAAATAGTTGGTGGTTTAATTGAGCTTGTTGATCAACTTGCAAAAGAAGCAGAAAATGAAAAGATGAAGGTAAGATCAGCATGTCTTCTGCCTACGTCTTGGCCTGGGACCCTAGTTTACTACCCTCTCATCTTTCTTCCCTCTTGATTTGTTTAGAGGGGTGGGTGGGTGAGTTTTCATTTAAGATTTTAAGGCCGGGCGCGGTGGCTCAAGCCTGTAATCCCAGCACTTTGGGAGGCCGAGACGGGCGGATCACGAGGTCAGGAGATCGAGACCATCCTGGCTAACATGGTGAAACCCCGTCTCTACTAAAAAATACAAAAAACTAGCTGGGCGAGGTGGCAGGCGCCTGTAGTCCCAGCTACTCAGGAGGCTGAGGCAGGAGAATGGCGTAAACCCGGGAGGCGGAGCTTGCAGTGAGCTGAGATCCAGCCACTGCACCCCAGCCTGGGCGACAGAGCGAGACTCCGTCTCAAAAAAAAAAAAAAAAGAAAAAAGATTTTAATAACTTCTAGTCCACTTAACCTACTGAACTTACGCCAGTCTTTATTTCCTTTAATCTTTTTTTTTTTTTTTTGGAGACAGAGTCACCCAGGCTGGAGTGCAGTGGCGCAATCTCACTGCAACCTCCACCTCTCAGGTTCAAGAGATTCTCCCACCTCAGCCTCCCAAGTAGCTGGGACTACAGGTGTGCACCAACACACCCAGATTACTTTTTTGTATTTTTTTTTTTTGAGATGGAGTTTCCTCTCGTTGCCCAGGCTGGAGTGCAAGGGTGCGATCTTGGCTCACTGCAACCTCCGCCTCCAGGGTTCAAGTGATTCTCCTGCCTTAGCCTCCCGGGTAGCTAGGATTACAGGCACGCGCCACCACGCCTGGCTAATTTTGTATTTTTAGTAGAGACAGGGTTTCTCCATGTTGGTCAGGCTGGTCTCGAACTCCCAACCTTAGGTGATCCACCTGCCTCAGCCTCCCAAAATGCTGGGATTAAGGTGTGAGCGACTGCACCCAGCCATTTTTTTTTTTGTATTTTTAGTAAAGACAGGGTTTCACCATGTTGGTCAGGCAAACTCCTGACCTCAAGTGATCTGCCCACCTTGGCCTCCCAAAGTGCTGGGATTGCAGGCGTGAGCCACCACACCTGGCCTCCTTTCATCTTCATATCAGCACTGATGTAGATGGTTTTATCCTTATTTTATAAATGAAGAAATGAAGGCGTACATAGTATGATTGGTGAAAGGCACAAGGCTGAATGGCACCACCAAATGTGCTATTGTGTCTGTGTCCCTGGCTCTAGGAATACTCCTAGACCTGTCTCAAAGCTGCCGTCAAGTTCTTGAGGCACTTTGTGATCGGTAGGTTAATCCTTCTGACTTAACCCAAAAGCTTTGGGGCTCCACTCTCTTTTCCTCTCTGGAGACTGACATAGCTCCCAGATGACCCCTCCCCACTTTGAGGACTTGTTGCTGTAGACGGTTTTAATGAAGCCATGGCCTTCTCTGGCAATACTGTAGGCCATCGGTGCTCGGAACTTGCTCAAATCTATAGCAAAGCAGAGAGAAGCTCAACAGCAGCAACTTCAAGCACTAATAGCAGAAAAGAAAATGCAGCTAGAAAGGTAAGAAGTCATGATGTAAAGCAAGTTCTTTACACAGCTGAATTTCCACTCTTCCTTCTGGAGTGATCACTTCTTGTCCTTACTCTTCATCATTGTTTTCCCAGGAATAGCATCTCACTTGTCATCCTGATTTGAAGATTTTTAAAAATAAAATTACATTTGATGGGAAGGAAATAGAAAACTTAATATCAAACCACCTCTAGTAGTTTGAGCATGAAAGGGTCTACGAAGTTGGCTGGCTTTCTGAAAGAAGACTTTCCTAGGGCTGAGATTTCTCATGGGTGGCTCTGGGTAGGGCTTTGCCTCTTTCTTTCTTCATTCTGAACTCACACCATTTCTTGAAATCATTTAAACCTCTATATCCTTCTCTAGAAGAATTAAGTCTGTGGTTTACTTCATCTTTTTTTTAGGGCCTCTAACAATTTTGTTTTTCAGGTATCGGGTTGAATATGAAGCTTTGTGTAAAGTAGAAGCAGAACAAAATGAATTTATTGACCAATTTATTTTTCAGAAATGAACTGAAAATTTCACTTTTATAGTAGGAAGGCAAAACAAAAAAAGCCCCTCAAAACCAAAAAAACCTCTGTAGCATTCCAGCGGCTTGACCAATGACCTGTCACAAGAGGTGGCGTGTAAGGAACGCAGCCCCCTGAAGACAGCACTACAAGTCTGGGGGAGCCAGTTTTAAACATCAGTGCACAGCTGCTGCTGGTGGCCCTACAGTGTACGTTCTCACTTCTTATGCTTAATTGGAACTAAGCAGTTTGTAAACTTTCATCCTTTTTTTGTAAATTCACAAAGCTTTGGAAGGAGAATACATTTTTGTTTTCAAATGGCTTGATGTACCTTTTTTTCCTGTTGCCCTTGAAATATGTTTAACCCGTCGTGAGAGAACCCTGGATTCTCTATCCCCCGTCCACAAAACAAACCAGGCAGTGGTCAGCAGCTACCTTTATTTGGATCACACATGTGAGTCAGACAGTACCACTAATCAGACCAATATGGCTTGTGAGCAAAATGGGTGGAAATAGAGGGAACTGACTGGGACCTGTTGTCTAACATCATTTTAAAGTTGGACTTGAGCAGAGACTTAGAGAAAGCTGATGGAATGCCAAGCATCAACGTGAAGGACCCTCTATGCACACAGTGGATGTTATGCCTGGCTCTAGCCACCTTCCCTTCTGAGAACAAGATGGGAACCACTGAAGTGTATTAAAGGATTAAGTTATCCACTAGGAAGCATACTAGCACACTTCCAGATCAGCCTTGAGATGCTAGACTTCAGATACAGGAACCTGTGTCAGGTGGCTTCTAGAAATGTGGAAGACTAAGATTTAGAAATAGAATAAACTAACTTAAAAACAAACAAACAAAAACCTTCCAGGATGATCTGTTTACAACAGCAACAAAAACATTTTCCAGTTTAATCCATTTCTGACTGAAAGTCATTGTTGGGCTGACCCTTAAGGAAAACTAAGTTTAAACTTCTTTGCATAGTGTTTTTTCTTTTTTCCTTGGGTTAGAGGTGGGGACAAGAAAACATTGATATAGTTTTGAATTAACATTAAAGAGGCAAAATTTCACATTTAAAATGGCCCAAAATGTACTGTTCATTTTGCTGACAGGTGATAACACTCTTGAGAATCAGGTGTGGAGGGTTTAGTCATAATAAGCATATATGCTGTAGGTCAGGTGACTCATGAACATGTCAAACAGGCCATGTTCTTTAGCAGTTTCTGGTCTGGTCCTGCTCTTAGTAATCTTGCGGTGGAACTCAGGCACACAGGTATTTGGTACTACTTCCTTATAACCTAGCCCACACCCCTTTGCCCACTCTCAAGCTGATCGGTCTGTTCATCCCAGTGCCCTTAGAAGGTGAAGGTTTGGGCTGGGCCCAGTGGTTGACGTCTGTAATCCCAGCACTTAGGGAGACTGAGGTGGGCCGATCACTTGAGCCTAGGTGTTCAAGACCAACCTGGGCAACATGGCAAAACCCCGTCTCCACAAAAAAAAAAAAAAAAAATAGCCATACGTGTTGGTACACGCCTGCAGTTCCAGCTACTTGGGAGGCTGAGGAAGATAGCTTGAGCCCAGGAGGCAGAGGTTGCAGTGAGCTGAGATCATGCCACTGCCCTTTACTCCAGCCTGGGCAACAGAGTGAGACTGTCTTTTTTTTTAAAAAAAAAAAAAAAAAAAAAGTGAGGGTTTGACGTGGTTCCTGACACCATCTTGCTCTTGTGCATTGCTGCCAGTGGTTCAAATGCTGCTGAAGATGTGGATTCTGAGCAGTGTTCCTTGTATTGTATCCAACAAGCAACCACCCTGTAGGCATCTCTACCCTGAGCCAGTGGTTGTTTCCTTCATTTTTTTTTTCTTTTCTCCTCATACTTGTAGTAGGGGCTCCGCAACATGAAAATTAAAAGTATGAACGGGATGAGTAAGTAGGGGGCATAGACAGATATAAGCGTTAACCGTTCATGCAAAGTCTCAGGTCTTTGCCCCTTGAAACCACTGGCTTTGGAGAAATCCTCAAACAGAAATGTGGAGAGTATTGGAATTAAGGTCGTCATGGTGTGAACGGAGTAGATGATTGCAGGAGTTCGAATCCACTTGCAGCTTCCTGAGGTAGTCAGGGGAAAAGAAAAATGGTTAGGTCTGTTCATGACTCAAAGGTGTCCAAGACCTTCCCACTGTCTCTGCCTGCCTGCTTTCTTCTACTCCCTTCTCCCAGCGGAAACTCGGAACTGGAAACCTGGATGTGCCACACTGCCCAACATGCAGATTTATGTGGCAGCTCACTGACAGCTCGCCGAAGAACCAAGAATATAACTCAGAACATAACTCAGCAAAACTCTAGGGCAATAAAACTGCCATTACCTGTTAAAACCTGTGTGGGATAAAATCCCAGAGGAGGGAAATCCCTGCCCCATGGCATCTGTTTGTTCAGTAATTATATATAGGTGAGAGGATCAGGAGGCAGATTCAGTGACCCCAGGGGATGCCAATGGGAAACAAGCATTTTCAGCGGTTCTAGCTTCGTTATCAAGTACACGTGTGTGGTCACCTTTTTAAAAAAGCATTGATTATGAGAACACTAAGAATAATTTTAAAATGAGAAGCACGTTAGGGATTAGCCTGATGCTACAGCTTGTAAGTCAGTATGATACTATCCAACACGGAGAAATAAAAGTCAACAAAAAGAGAAATTAATTCTGTTGGGGAACAAAACCAAAGGGAACAAGCTCATCGTTTAAGTGGTCTCAGGTTTCATGTGTATGCAAGGGATTTCTAGACTGAGGCAGCCGTGCAGCCCCACTGACCACAGACATGAACCTGAGCCACACTAATGTCCCTTTACAAGATTTACCCTGGTTATTTCCCCCAGATCCTATGGCATCCTCCCACAAACTATGGGGACCATCCCCTTCCCTTTGGAGATACTTCCCCAAAAGATTTCTGGGACCTGATTTCTGGGTAAAAATGGGATTTTCCCACCATTTACCAACCTTTGAGGAAGGCATACGTTGCAATGGGAAAGAAAGGCAGCTGAAACACAAGCTCGCAAAACAGAAAGGACTTAAACCAGGCTGGGGGCTCCTGCAGCAGCGGGTCTTTGAACTCCTTAGCATACCACTTCAGCAGGTTTCTAAACTGAAAAAGAAAATGATCATGATGAATTACAGCCACCTGGCCTCAACAGGCTCGGTTCTAGCTCATTTGAAAATACACTGGAGGAGCCTGTAATTAATTAGCACCCCCAACCCCAGCAGCAGATGGCATGTCCAGCTGGCTTTTGTGACACAGCCTAGATGGTCATTTAATAAAAACTTACTATCCCTAACTCAAATGTTCCCTTCTCTGTGAAGTTTTCTTAACTCTTCCAGCCCCTTCTTTGTGCTACCCAGCATCTGTTCATAATTCCAAGATAACACATCCAGATGTGTTGGCCACTGTCAGGAGCAACAATAAGTATCTGGCACTTAGTAGGCACTCAGGGTGTTCGCTGAATGAACAAATGTGACATTTCTGCCAACAATATCATTCTTTGTTTAAAAAAACAAACGTGAAAACCATCCTGACACTTTCCCGTTTGCAATGGCAACTACACACCAAGCTCCAAAGGCCAGATTCCCTCAAATGCAGAAATGAATTTCCCTCTTCTTTTCTGGGGGTGGAGGTGGGAGTGAAAGGGGAAGTAAATCTAACCTCTGTGGCGATGGAATTTTGGACACTTTAATTCCAATATGGCAAACAAGTTCCTTATCATTCTTAACTCGCCTAATTCTAATTTTTGGTTTTTAGGAGACAGAATTTTAGTGGAAGAACAAACTCTGCCCCAAACTACAAACTACCTAGTAGCTTCTTGGTTATGCAGGGCTTTAGCGTCTCAGTTCTAGCTTGGGCCCCACACTTCTAATTACCCTGTCAAATAAAAAGGATGTGGATCCATGCTGACCTGGCTACAGGCAGAGAAAAGAAGCAGAGTTTAAGGCTGCCCATCTTGGGCTTTTATAGGAGCCCAAAGCCTAGTGCTCTTGGCTCTATGTGGACTACTAAACGTCTGTAACATCACATTTTACCTCCTAGATGTGGCATTGTCCTGACACACAGGCCTTCAAAGACAAATCAGTCTTGATACTATGATTAATAAAGGCAACTCCAGGGTAAGAATTTATCTTACAATGGAAAATCCAAGAATATTTTTCCTGTTAATTTTTAATCAAAAGATAAAGGCTCACTATTGTGAAATAGAAGCCCCTCTGCTGCAAGAGCACTTTAAGCAAACATCCAGAAACAAATATCCTGTTAGCATATTTTTGATTTCAGAAAGGCTCTGGCTAGATAACCAATTTATTGACCAAAGGATCTCCAAATTTGTACTTAATTTGAAATTGAAATTCATAAGCACTTTTCTGGATGGGAATGTGGTTTGAATAGGATTGAATTGATAGGAAACACAAAGGCTAAGTCACTGTCCCTCTCCAGGGTTCTATTTCCTCATCTATAAAATAAGCAACTTGGACTAGATGTTTTCTTAAGATCCCTTTTTTGCTTTTTAGATTTTTAAAAATACTGGATGAAACTACCTGCTTTAAAAGATTGACTGTAAAATTATTATTTTTGAGACAGTCTCTGTTGCCCAGGCTGGTGGAGTATGGTGATTTGATCTCGGCCCACTGCAGCCTCAACATCCTGGGCTCAGATGATTCTCTCACCTCAGCTTCCCCAGTAGCTGGGACTACAGGTATGCACCACCAAACTCAGCTAATTTTCTGTAGAGATGGGGTTTTGCCACATTGCCCAGGCTGGTTTTGAACTCCTGGGCTCAAGCGATCCTCTTGCTTCAGCCTCCCAAAGTACTGCGATTACAGGTGTGAGTCACTGCACCCAGCCTGACTGCAAAATGTAAGAGGCATTCTGGGTCAGGCCCGGTGGCTCATGCCTATAGTCCCAGCACTTTGGGAGGTCAAGGCAGGTGGATCACCTGAGGTCAGGAGTTGGAGACCAGCCTGGCCAATATGGTGAAACCCCGTCTCTACTAAAAATACAAAAATTAGCTGGGTGTGGTGGCTCACGCCTATATTCCCAGCTACTCTGGAGGCTGAAGCAGGAGAATCGCTTGAACCCAGGAGGTGGGAGGTTGCAGTGAGCTGAGATAGAGCCACTGCACTCCAGCCTGGGTGACAGAGCGAGACCCCATCTCAAAAAAAAAAAAAAAAAAAAAAAAAAAAGGCATTCTGGCTATTTGAACCTCATTTTCTATTCAATTTGCATACAACCTTTCTGATCCAACTATTTCGTAAATTGAGGCAGACTCGTATAGCACTTTTAA